TTTTCTTTTTTCTATTTTTTTGAGGGAAGGTTTCTCTGTGTGTAGCCTTGGCTGTCCTGGACTCACTTTGTAGCCAAGGCTGGCCTTGACCTCACAGAGATCCACTTACCTCTGCCTCCCGAGTGCTGGGATCACAGTCATGTTCCACCAGGCCTGGCTCACCTTCAATTCTTAAGAGTCTTATCTTCATTAATGTGGACAGTTTAAAGTGAAGAGTTTCTCGGCATATATTTGACTAAACCTTTTTATTTTAGACAGTTTTATTGTACATGTCAAAGGCTCACAGTTTTAATATCTCTCTGTGTCTCTCTCTTTCTGTGCTGTCTAGGTTGGCCATGAACTTGTGATCCTACTACTTTAGCCTCCTGAATGCTAGGATTAGAGGTATCTGCCAACATGTCCAGCCTAGGAAGGTATTTTGAAATCTAGGACATTCCCTGCCAGTACTGTCAGGGGTGAGTTTGGTCTGTAGAGAGGAAATGATTAACCAGTGTGTTGCTGAGGAATGAGCTTTCTCCCAGGCGCTCAGTCCCAGCCTGTCCCCATTTTGTGCATTCTGTGCACTGAGGCAAATTACAGCTCACTCCTGGCTAGTGTCTGCAGCTAGTCTGGGTCACTTATTAGCCGAAGTCCATGCTGAGATTGCTGCTGCATTTCAGAGAGTGTCAAGGTAGCTAAGATCAGAATCCCACAGCTTAGACTGTCTGGCAGGCTTGTTGACGCAGGCCAGTTAGTTACTCAGACTGTTGGTTACCCTTTCCAAATTGATTTCTAAAGTTAGAATAGGTCAGTAACCCCTGTCCTTGCCTATAGCTAATTAAAAAATTGTGTTTCCTGACTGTCCTGGAAGCTCTCTATGTAGATCAGGCTGACTTCAGTGACCTTAAAACTCAGAGAGATCTGCCTGCCTCTGACTCCTAAGTACTGGAATTAAACGCATGCACTACCACATCTGGCCCCAAAGCGAATTCTTTGTTATTAGAGGTTGTTTTGTTTGTTTGTTTGTTTTGTTATTTTAAAATCTGTTCTTTCCAAGATGAGGGCCTCTGCCTAAGACTTAGAAGTGTGGCATTAGTAAGGAGCATGGGCCAAGTACTGCTGTTCAGTGGCACATTAGTAATATATATGATGTAGATACCTCCTGAAAAACATCTGGACACATGAGGGCAGGTATGCTGGTGTCCCCTGCACTCTAAATCTTCTGTATCATTTCATCTGTTGGGATTTTTCCTATGACATTCCCAGAGTTCGACATTTGGTGACCCCTGTGAAGTGAGTGAAAGTGACCTACCATGAAGGGCTGTGTTATGGCCCGTGCCACTCTTGCTGCCTAGCCCTCACAGTAGCATAGGCGTCTATGGTGCTGTCTTCTGAATCAGACCAGGCTTTGAGCCATCACAGAGCTGGGAAACATGAGCACACCTTGGAACAGCAGTACCGGAGTCTCTGTATGTGTGCACAGCTCATGGTTACTCCTCATGTGGGAGTCTTTCAGGCAGTTAGACCTCTCCCTACTGAAGACATCCTCTCTCCATCCCCTGCTGCCCCTCAGTCTGCCATTGCCCGGAGGTAGTGGATGGGCTCTGATCAGGGAAAGGAGAGGTGGCACCACTTTCTAGTGGATGAAGCCTGTAGCCAGAAAGGGATACTGAGGACAGGAGTACCTTTAGGGGGCTTATCTCTCTGAGTTGTCCCAGGAGTGTGTTGGTGGCAACTGGAAGTGCTCTCAAGGAATAGAGTCATCCCTTTTTCTAAAAGAGAATTGAGTTTTCTGTAAAGGACTGAGGACAATGCGAGGATGGTGGGCTGAATTGGCCTGGCCAGGGCCTGTAGAGCAGAGGCAGGGTTGGCCAGAAATACGGAAAGGCCAGGTCCACTAAGAGTGTGCTTGAGACCTCTGGGTATATATTCATCTCTGTCTGGGGCCACAGCTTCTGTTTCAGGACCAGCTACACTGCGCTAGGACTGACCTCTGCTTTCCGACAGTACTGCTTCTGGCTGTGGGTGGACAGCTTTCCTTCCACTAGGAACCACTGAGTTAGGAAACTGTTAGGCTTTCTGAGTGATCACTCCCCTTCAGCTAGGTGCTACTCCTCCTCCCTCTCCTGTTGTGCTCCTGTGGAAGGTGTGTTTGTTTACATTGCCTGAACACAGCATTTCTGTGCTTTTACATGCCTTCCTCTTGCACCCTCACCATCCTGCACACTTGAGACAGTCCCTGGAGTACATAGGCCTGCCTTTGCACTCACGTCCCGCTCATGCTCTTCTGCTCACTCAGTCATGCACCTCATTCACATGTTGGTGTTTTCTGTGCTTCTTCATGTGGCTCCGGATGTCTGAAGTTCATGACCCACAAAGAATTTAGAGAACAGGGTTGTTAGACTTAATGCATGTAGTTGGTCTATGACATTTATGCTTGATGATAACTTTGTTGGATATAAAGCCCTAATGCCTTGTTTCTTTTGCTTGAATATCTTAGATATATTATACCCATTCTGATGTCCAACACTGTCTAGTCTCTCAAGAGCTCCACGAAGACCTTTCTTTGTTTGTTTGTTTGGTTTGTCTTTTTTTTTGAGACATAATCTCACTATGTAGTCCTGGATAGAACAATCTAGCCTTGAATTTACAGAAAGTCATCACACCCAGCTTTTTTTTTTTTTTTTTTTTTTTTTGAGGCCTTTCTCCCCCTTCTACTAGGATAGCCTTGGGTACATGAGACCCTGCCTAAAAAAACTAAAGAACAACAAACAGCTTACATATACACCCACCCATGAAACAAAAGGTGCTGTGCACAGTAGACCTTTCATCATGTTCTGGGGCTTAGCTGAGGTTCCCCCAGGCTCCTACTATCCCCAGAGTCCTTCAACTGTTCATATCTTTAAAACTTAAAATGTCTTTGTGAATTAAATTTTTTCATTATATTTCATTTATTATTCTGTGTACATCAGGTGCAAGTAACCCTGGGGAGATTAGAGGACAACTTGTGGGGGTTAATTGAGTTCACCAGGTTCTGTAGCAATGCCTTCACTCACTGTACCATCTGACCAGCCATTGTACTCCACGATGTCCTGGAGCCCATAGCAATCATCTTGTCTTTTTTTTTTTAAATTTTTTAAAATTATTTATTTACTATGTATACAATGTTTTTTCTGCAGCCAGAAGAAGGCACCAGATCTCATTATAGATGGTTTTGAGCCACCATGTGGTTGCTAGGAATTGAACTCAGGACCTTTGGAAGAGCAGACAGTGCTCTTAACCTCTGAGCCATCTCTCCATCCCCATCATCTTGTCTTTTTGTGTGGTGCTTGGAATTGAGCTTCGGGCCTTGTCACACCAGGCAAGCATTCTGTACCGTCTCAATGCAGTTGTTTTTCATAAGATTGTTTCTTACTGTCTAATTTTTTTGTTAACCAATATCTTGAGTTTTTAAGGTTTTGCTTGTTTGTTTTCCTGAAAAAGCATAATTTTTAGGCTGGGCATGGTGGCAAACGCCTGTAATCCCAGCACTCTGGGAGGCAGAGGTAGGTAGATCTCTGTGAGTTTGAGGCCAGCCTGGTCTCCAAAGCGAGTCCAGGACAGCCAAGGCTACACAGAGAAACCTTGTCTCAAAAAAGTATAATTTTTAATTTTAATAATACACTTAAAATCTGTAATTGTACATTTAGTATAAAAGATTATTATCAGACTTACACAGAATGATCAATTATGGATATATCAGAAAGAAATTTGATATATTCTGATAGAGGTGCCCTTTCTTTATTGTAAAAAAATGTGGTGGCTGTTGGCCAAAGCCACGAAGAGGATTGTCATGGATTCCAGGCTAGTTGAGGCCACGTTTTTTGTCAGACCCTGTCTCAAAAGTAGGGAGAGAGCAGTGCACCAAAAAACAGAATATGAAAGAAATACTTTACAAGTTAAAGCTATTTTACTTTACAATATGCAAAACACAAAACAATTTAAGCAGATCCTTTTATTTTGTAAGAAAATTATTTTTCACTTTTTATTTATGGACATTTTAATTCTTTCTGGAAAAACCAAAGCCTCCCATACCCTCTCCAAGCTATGTAGCATGTGAACTGCTTCTGGATGAGAAGTAGGTTCGAGAGTGGGCCTCACCATTTGCCTACCCTTTTCCTTTAAACATTCTTTGCTGAAATGAAACTTCAGCAATGTGGTTTACAGTCCTGGAAGGAGGAGTTGCCTGGATGTCCATTTCTTCAGCCACTCTACACAGTGGGCCTGTATCACCACAGGAACTTACAGCCACAGCCCAAGGTTTTTTTGGGACCCTCAGGTGACAGCTGTGTGCTTCAAGAGCCTCCATCCTGAGGCTGGGTCTCTTGATGGGAACACCCTGATATCTCTTTAGAGCAGGGAGTGGCAGAGCCTGGTGCTCAAAGGAGATGTGGGGATGAGGCCTCTGCTAGGGTTAAGATGGGTGTGTCCCACCAAGCCTGGCTTTTTATTCTTTTGGGGTTTTTTGCTTTTCTTTTTAATTTTTTTTTTTTTAAACCAGGCTGGCCTCAAACATAAATTGATCAGCTTTCCTCTGCCTACCTGAGTGCTGTGATTAAAGGCCACCACACCTGACAGCTTTTTTTTTCTTCTTCTTATGTTGTAGGCTGTCCTCCAGCTCACAGCTATCCTGCCTCAGCTTTCTGAATACTGGGATTATAAATTTGAACTACTATACCTGGTTGTGACTATACTAGGCCAGTCAACTAGGGTCTTGGCTTCTGCTGCTGGTCCTGCAACAGTTTACTTCTTTGCTTGGTTTTGCCTCCTGTCTTATAATAAGTTATGAGACTTGAGTGGAGACCCCAGGGCTTTGTCTGTGGTCATGTCCCTCTGTGGTCATGTCCCGTGTAGTCGGACAACCATGTGGCTCACAGCCCCCCCTCTCTCAGCACCAATGAAAACCATGAGTCAGGTCTCAGCAGGAATGAGTACTTCTTTAGAGAAAACGAAACAGTGTATTTATATTCTTTCTTTCCTAGGTAAAAGTAAAGAAGCTGAAATAAAGAGGATAAACAAGGAGCTGGCAAATATTAGATCAAAATTTAAAGGTAAGTGCTACCCTTCGCTACAACATGGTAAGGGCCTTGTGATGATTTTTAATCTTCATGGTCAACCTAATGCCATCTGGAATCCATCAGGACGTGTCTGAGGGATTGTCTAGATTAGGTTCATTGAAGTAGGAGGATACTGTAAATGGGTTGGAGGGTCCGGGCTGAATTTAAAAAAGAAAGTAAGCTGAGTACATCACTTTAGCCTCAGGAATGTTCCCAATTCAGCCATAGTTAGCCCTGCTCAGAAGCAAGTGTGCACAGGAGATAAGTGATGCTTAGGCCTGTCCATGGTTCATTTTTTTCCCCCTGACTGGATGCAGTGTGACCAGCCACTTCAAGTTCCTGCATCAGACTTCTTCACCGTGCTGGGCACACCCTTGAACCAAAATAAACCCTCCCTTCAATTGCTCTTGTTAGGCATTTCTGTCCCAGCCACTGGAAAAGTAATAAGTACAGAAACAATCTTTGAACATTTTTTAAACCCCTAAAACACATCAAGTTCTTAGTAGAGTAAATCCAGCCATTAAGGGATCCAGGTAGTTAGAACAGATTGTGTTGAATTGGTTGGTCGGTCCCTTCCTAGCTCTGGCCTTGATCTTTCCCTAGGGGTTGGAAATTACACTGACCTGGTGTCTTGTCTGGAAAGTGCTGCTCAGCACTCTGCTGAGGTGGAGCTGCCTTGACAGGCCAGGGACCCTGTTGCTGATGTCTGTTAAACCCACAGAATATCCTTGCTGATTGTTTGGTTGTTTGTTTACTTATTTATTTATTTAGTTTTTCGAGACAGGGTTTTTCTGTGTAGCCTTGGCTGTCTTGGACTTACTTTGTAGACCAGGCTGGCCACAAACTCACAAAGATATGCCTGCGGCTGCCTCCCTGAGTACTGGGATTACAGGCATGCGCCACCATACCTGATTTTTTTTTTTTTTTAAATTAATAAACCAGTGTATCTGCCCTGTCAGTTGAAGACAGAGACCTATCTTTACTAGGCTGTTTCTGCCAAAAAGGTATGTGCTCTACTGAGGACTCTTACCGTGAAACATGGCACAGCACAGGCTTAGTATCCTGTCTGTAGGACATTTGGGAAAGCCCAGCTAACCCTTGAAGCTGAGCATGCCACAGGAATAGCTGGGATTTCCTAGAAATGATGAATAGAGGAAAAGCTTGGATTGCACTCTGAAGAGGTGCACGGTCAGAAAGAGTTAGCTTTGTGGTCTTCTAGAATTTCAGGATGGGGTGACTCAGGCGCTTTGAAGGTGGATTTCCTGGATGGTCAGGCAGTTTGAAAACTAGCGGAATTTAAATTATCACTTGTCAGAGTATTTGCCGTTGAGCTGGCAGAAAGTTAAATCTGGGCAGTTTAAAATAGGCCTCTGAGAGTCCTGACACTGTACATGTAGTGACTGTCTCGGGGGTCTGTCACACACTGCTGTGTAAGGGGTGAGCAGGTGTAGACTCCATGATGAGATTGCAATGTCAAAGGTTTACAGAGGATACCAGTGTATTATAATGGGAGCGAGGCTCTGGGTAGAGATACCAGTAGTCACCTGTAACCCACTGGGCGAGTCAGTCCTGCCTCTGGGGCCTTCTGCCACTCCTCCAGCTCCCACATGCTGGCAGCTCTGGACTCTCACGTGAAAGGCCTATGTCTACTATTTTAACTGTGTTTTAGGAGGAGTTACATACTGCTAACTTGTTAAAAGATGAGCACCTAATACATTTTAATCTATATGATTAATGCAGAGTTTGACTTTCAAAGTGGGAAGGATTAAATTTGAATGTTGAAATAAGAAAAATTTAATTTAATTTAATTTTATGTACATTAGTGTGAGGGTGTCAGATCCCTTGGAATTGGCATTATAGACAGTTTTAAGCTGCCATGTGGTTGCTGGGAATTGAACCCGGGTCCTTTGGAAGAACAGACAGTGCTCTTAAGCCCTGAGCCATCTCTGTAGCCTTAAGAAAAATCATTTTATCCTGTGTTTTGCCTGCATGTATGTTTGTGTATTATTTGTATGCTTGATACCCACAAAGGCCAGGAGATGGCATCAGATCTCCTGGAACTGGAGTTACAGGTGGTTGTGAGCTGTCTTGTGGGTGCTGAGAATTAAACCCTGGTCCTCTGGTAGAACAGCCTATGTTCTTAACCACAGAGACATCTTTTCAGTCCCAAATGTGATATTTTTGTTAGCTTTAAGAGTAATAATCTAATTTGTTTATGTATAAGTTAAAAATTAAGAACTTTGGGGCCTGAGAGATGGCTCATTGATGAAGGGTTCTTCCCTAACCTGGTAGCCATTCTTAGAAACCACATTGTAGGGGGAGAAAACTGACTTCTGAAAGTTGACCTGACCTCCACATGTGTACCCTGGCAAGTCTGCTTCCCCCATGCACACACACATAAACAATTAACACGTGTTAAAAAAAGAAAAAGGTAGCTGGGAATGGTGGGACACACCTGTAATCCAAGCACTCATTTCTGGGAATTGAACTCGGGACCTTTGGAAGAGCAGACAGTGCTCTTAACCTCTGAGCCATCTCTCCAGCCTGAGAAACCCTGTCTTGAAAAACAACAAAACAAAACAAAAAACAAACAAAAAGAAAAGAAAAAGGTTAAGGACTTTGGCTGGGCATATAGCTTACTGGTAAATGTTTTCCTGACATGTGCAGAGCCCTATATTTGATTCCCAGCATCCCTAAAACTCAAGGGCTGTGTTAAATTATCTATTCTACACATATCTGGGTGTTGTGGAAGTAGGAAGTCTTGTGAAGCTGAACTGTGCTGTGCAGGAAGGAAGTCCCTCCTGTGCACTGGCCAGGGCCTTCTGTGTGCTGAGCAAAGTTGGCCATTGAAGGAGTGCGGCAGTGACGGAAAGTCTTTTATCTGTTCTTGGTGAACTTGCGGCTCAGTGTCTGCTCTGGTTAGAAAGTCCAGTTGGCTTAGGTCTGTACTGCCTGGAAGACTGCAGTAGACGGTACCTGCTAGTCCAAGATCAGGCCTGCCACTTGGGTCAGATGGGGAGTAGACAGTGTTCCAAGACCTCCTGAGAGGATCAGAGTGCCATGAAAAAAGAAACGTTCCCAGGCCACCCAGGAGAAGGCTTTAGCTTGTGAGGTCTGGAGCAGCACTGTTTGTGCCTTTACCCTTACTGCTCTGAGAAAGGCAGTCCAGATGGAGCTGGATCTTAGAGCCATGGCCATTAGTTGGAATGATGTTGTCTTCCAAGAAAAGCACTTTTGCTTGTCAGCTACGGATACGCTATGCTGACATCTAGTAGGCAGAGGCTATAGGCTTCGGACACCCATAGGACATAGCTTCTTTCTACCAGAAAATACCTGGTTCAGAATGTCAGGATCAGCACCGTGGTGGTGCACTCCTTTAATTCCGGCATTCAGGGAGGCAGAGGCTAGTGGATCACTGTGAGTTTGAGGCCAGCTTGGGCTACAAAATGAGTCCATGACAGCCTATACAGGGAAACCCTGTCTCGAAAAACAAAATAAACCAGAATGTCAGGATCCCCTGTGTAGAGGGAAAAACTCAAAGTGTGGGGTTCACCCTCTTCTATATCACACCCAAATCACCCTGCAGCTCTGAGGACCTGGCCCCCTGGCCACTGTCACACTGCAGCTAGCCTTTCTTGGCGTGGACTATGCACAACTTCACACTTAGACCTGGGTTGAGGTGAGTGAGGGGCAGCAGTCCCTCTGGCAGGAAAGTGCTTCTCCCTGACCTTGAGTGTAGTTGGTTTAAATACAGTGTTAGAGTGTGGTCAGAGAGAACAACGGTGCAGAGAAACAAGATCCTGTGAGCTGGAGCCCACAGAGGCCCAGGAGACAGAATCATGGAGACTTTTAAGTCAGGTTCATGTTACAGTAAACTGGGTTTACAGCATTTAAAGGTGTAAAAGGCAAACTCGGTTGGAAACTGAGAAAGTATCAGATGTGAGAATGGACTTTGAAGTAAGACCAGTTGGGGCAACTTAAATGAAGGTACGGTAGATGTCTGAGGTGATAAGAGGTAATTTAAGAGAACTTTGGTTTTCTGAAAGATTGGCCGGATGAAAACTGTAGCTCAGATAGGTGGTGGGAGGCACAGACTAGAGTTGAAGCCTGGAAGGTTGCTTGGTGTCTTAGAGGAAAGGTGGGGTGTGTGTGATGGATGAGCTCTAGAGAATTAAGAATCTGGAACAAACACAGAATAAATAAAAGGAAATCTATCCTGAATATGTTAATATACAATGTGTAGGTTCAAAGACAGATGCTCTGAGCGGTGAGGGCCTGTCTCCACAGCAGCTGTGCAAGGCTTTTGAGCTGGAGCAGCAGGGAGCAGGAAGGATACATCTAGTTCCAGGGGAATCTAATATCCTCTTCAGCCACTGAATGCACACGTTGATACATGCAGGCAAAATAACCATACTCATAAAATAAAATAAGTGTAGGGATGGTGACATATTACCTTTTTTCTTGTTTGCTTTTTTACTCTTGAGGCAGGTTTTCTCTGTGTGGCCTTGGCTGTCCTCTGTAGACCAGGCTGGCCTCAAACTCACAGAGATCCTCCTCCGCCTCTGAGTGCTGGGATTAAAGTTGTATACTAACACCACCGCCTGGCTGGCACACACTTGGGAGGCACAGGCAAGTGGATCTCTGTGAGTTCATGGTTAGCCTGGTCTACGTGGCAGCAAGTTCCAGGCCACCTATTAACTTGTGACACCCCATCTCAAAAAACAACTCCTCCAAAACCCTGAAATAACAATAGTACTTCTAATAAAGGCTAAAAAGATGTTTTAAAAACAAGAATGGAAGAATTTCCTAATAGCATGCTTCTCACTGATAGACTCATGATTCCAGGTACAAGGTCAGCCACACAGAAATGAATGATAAAGCAGAGAATGCTAAGTAAATTTAAATGGTGATTGTATGTGGAAATAATGTCTTGTGGAGTTTAAAGTCTATGTAGAAATTAGGTCCTTGATAGCAAGCAGATAAAACATGATAAAACGTGAGCAGTGAACATTGGAGAGTTGAATCTGTATCTTGTTTATTTTTATGGCAGTCTAAACTTACTGAATGATTGACGCTGAGTTATACAAAAAGGCACTACTTTAGTTAAGACTTAGAATCATCCATGGACCAGGCTGGCCTGGATTGTGTGATATCATGAAGGTTGACTTTGAACTTCGGATCCTTCTGCCTCCACCACACTGGTTCTGAGATTATAGCTGCTTCCTGCCACACCTGGTGTTGGAGGTCTTCCTGCATGTTGGACAAACATCCTACCAATGAGCTGTTTCCAGTCCAGTTAGTTCATATTTGGCCATCTCAAAATAGTTAGAACCGTTACAACATTTAGTTGGTCCATTTATATACTGTGACTCCCTGTTGGATAGACAATCTTTTTTGTTTCTTTGTTTTTATTTTTGTTTTTCGAGACAGGGTTTCTCTGGGTAGCCTTGGCTGTCCTATACTCACTGTGTAGACCAGGCTGGCCTCAAACTCACAGAGATCTGCCTGCCTCTGCCTCCTGGGTGCTGGGATTTACAGCATGCTTCACCTTGCCTGGCTCTTTTTTTTTTTTTTTTTTTTTTTAATGATAGAAACAAAAGTATACCTAAAAGCGAAGCTTCCGGAAAAACTGCTCTTCTGTAAACTTGACCTTGCCTGGCCTTGCATTTAGAGCTGGGTCTCTAAAAGACATCCTCATTGACAACAGTTTTGTTCAAGGGAATATTCACAGAGTACTTTGTGGGCATGAGGTGATTGTAATTATAAACTTTCACAAAGGACTTGATCTTTGATTTTTGGTGATTTTCTTTTTGCCCGTAGCAGTTGTCACTTTTCAGGGATAATGATCAAGAAAGTAAGGTTATTGTTGATCCATATCTGTAATGTGGCCTCATATTCACAGAGATGTGTCTGCCTCTGCCCCCTGCTATCATGCCACATACATACACACAGCATGAAGAGAGCTGAGGATAAGTTGGAGGTGCAGCCAGCTAGATGGGCTCTAGTGTTTGAGTTTTAAGTTATGGTCTGCTGCTAGGAGAGAGGAAAGGTTTCCCAGGAGCTCTGCAAGGCGACTTTGAGTTGGTCTTCATCCAACCGGTGCAGTGTTTGTTCTAGACATCCCTGTGAGGTCAGCAGGTCTGCATGTCTGCATATAGCCCTTAACTAGCAGGAGAATGCTGCTGTTATAGCCTTGACCAGTCACTTATCTTTAGGCCATACATACCTTTTGTTTTTCATAAAGTTATTTATTTGTAACCACAGCCTGCATAATGCATATTTAAAATTTTTTAAATTTTATTTATTTTACATCCTGACTGCAGTCCCCCTGCCCCATCTCCTCCTCCTCCATTTCTCTTCAGAAAAGGGCTGGCCTCTGGATATCAACCTGCCATGGCATATCAAGTTGCAGTAAGACTAGGCACCTCTTCTGTTAAGGCCAGACAAGGCAGCCCAGTTAAGGGAAGGACTCCCAAAGCCAGGCAACAGAGTCAGAGACAGACCCTGTTCCCACAAGAAGCTCAAGCTACACAACTATAACATTTGCATGGAGGGCCTAGGTCAGTCCCATGCAGGCTCCTTGGTTGGCAGTTCAGTCTCTGTGAACCTCTAGGGGCTCAGGTTGCCTGATCCTATGGGTTTTCTTGTGGTGTCTTTGACCCCTCGGCTTCTACAATCCTCCCTCCCCATCTTCTGAGGGATTCCCCAAGCTCTGCCTACTGTTTGACTGTGGATCTGCGTCTGTTCCCATCAGTGGGTGAAACGTCTTAGATGACAATTTAGACCATACGTACCTTATACTGACTTAGCATCACAGAAGACTCAGCCTAGTGAGAGTAGTATATGCCAGCATCACCTCCTGCTGCAGGTCAACTCAGAAATATCCCTGTGCTTCAAATAAAGTGAGCAGCAGTGCTGATGGCTCTCAGTTACCCAGGGAGCTTTGTGCTGTAGTAAGCCTTGAGTTGAACTGGGATCAGGAGGGAGTTCAGTTATGCCACCGTTTGTGGACTGTGTGTGTGGTTTTATGATAGGTGATTTACCCCATAACTGTTGTGAAATGGAAGATAATTTATAGTAAGTGTATCTGCCTAAGGCAATAAGCTTGTTTAAAGGATTAGCTTGATGGCTTGTGCAGGGCTTGCAGATCTATTGCTTTGGGGCTTTTGGGGCCAAGGCAGGTTGAGAGAGGTCATGACCCCACTGACAGGCACATGCAGGTCTTTTGGGCACAGAGCACTGACCGCCGGGCATTCTGGATTGTGGTGTGTACCACACTTATTAAGTGCAAAAGTCACTCTAACTGTATGTGTCTGGCTGCATGTCTGGCTGGAGGCCTCTGCTCTCTTTGAGGCCTTCACTGCAATCTGTTACTCTGCTACACAGTTCTCTGCCTTTCTCACCTTGCCCACTAGATATAAACCTTTTATTCATCTTTTGTGTAGGTGATAAGGCTCTTGATGGCTACAGTAAAAAGAAATATGTCTGCAAATTACTGTTCATCTTTCTCCTTGGTCATGACATTGATTTTGGACACATGGAAGCTGTGAATCTTCTGAGTTCAAACAGATACACGGAAAAGCAGATTGTGAGTATGGTTGAGGGGCAGGGCCATGCACCCTGTGTGCAGTTTGCAGACTCCTCCTTCCACTCTGTCCCGTATTGGGTACCAACCACCTGTGCATCTGGCCCATGTTACTGCCTGGTGCTGGTTCCTTCCAGTCATGTTCAAAACCATCCAAGCCTAGTTCTTTGCTTTTTCTAGGGAGCAGTGGTGCCAAGAATAGACTTTGAAAAGGGGTGGCCCTTTTCTCCACTGCAGCTCTCTGTTGGCTGAGGCTGGTAGATTCTCTGTGCTCACACTCCTTTATCTGCTGCCCACGGCCTCAGTGCCTTCTTTTCACAGGGCCTTGTTACTGAGTACAGTGTCAGCAGAGACTTTATTCCAAGGCCTTTTGCATGACTGACTAAAAAAGGGTCTGTGCCCACAAGGGCAAGAACTAAAGCCATAGAAGGTGCTGGCCCTTTCCTGTCCCCTGCTACACCAAAGTATAAGGGTCCCCGCCTTGCAGGCTGCTCAGACTTGCTTAGGCTTGGAGTTTCAGCTCTGCATTCTTTTGTAGTAAGTAAGGCTGTTTGTGTTTCAACAATAGCTTTCTCTTTTGGTTAAAAAAGTAACTTACAGCAATTAAAAAATAAGCCAATTGTCTTAGGATTTTCATTAAGAGAGTGAGGTTTCTGTATTTTCAGGCTCCACACCCTCACCTTTAAGTGCCAGAATGGTGGGATGAGACTCGGTTTGAACGGTGGTGAGGCAACAGTGGAGATAAACCTGAGGGAGGAGTGGGTAGCAGGAAGCCAGCTTTTGGGCGTGTGTATTTATTAGTGAATGATACCAGGCTTGGTTCTTGCAGTGGCATCCCCCTCCCTTCCTGACCTGAGGATGGTGTGGCATCTGAACACAGATGTGTGAGCTACCAAGAGGGAAGTGAGGCTCAGGGAAGGACTGAGTGACCTGCTTTCCTTGTGCCTCTGACTATGCACACATTTCAGTGGGATTGCCATGTCAGGCTGAGTGGTACGAAAGTGTTGTTCACTGGTACATTGCCAGAATATGGGCAGCCTTCAGGGATAAGTCTGTGTGGCACCCATTGGGATGGCACTAGAGGCTTTCCAGGCTTGCTTATCTGTGCATTGTGTTAGGCGTCTTGTCATAAGCCTTTTGTCCCTGCCTTCTGGGAATACAGGGTTACCTTTTCATCTCTGTGTTGGTGAACTCGAATAGCGAACTGATCCGCTTGATTAACAACGCCATCAAGAACGACCTGGCCAGCCGCAATCCTACATTTATGGGCCTGGCCCTGCACTGCATCGCCAATGTGGGTAGCCGTGAGATGGCGGAGGCCTTCGCTGGAGAGATCCCCAAGATCCTCGTGGCAGGGTATGTATCTGGGTGCAGTTGATGGGCAGCATGCGCTCCTTCTAAACACAGTCCACTCTGTGCAGTGTGGGATGTCATGGAGCCCTACTTCAGAGCTCGGAGGCACAGAGTCTCTCCCTGAGGTCACTGAGACTTAAAGCAGATCATAGAAGAAAGCCCTTCTTAGCCTGTAGCCTTGCGTGGACTCCAGGGAGAAAGAAACCAGTTGTTTGGCATAGCCTTGAGTCTGATCCCTTCCAAGAAACATTGGAGCAAAGGCGAAGCCCTTGTGTCTTGAAAATTCTGCATCATCTCTCCCCTCAGTTCATTTGAAGAGCTGTCAAGTGGTGCTCAGGGGTCACTCTGGAAGAATTTGAAGCAGCCCTGGACTGTGTCAGGCCTCAGGGTTGGCAGAGGCAAGGCCAGCTTTGTCTGGTCATATGCTTTATGCTGTTGTGTAGCCAGTCCACAGACATAGTGGTTATATTCGTCATGGTCTAGGAGACAGGCTAGGACAGTAGTTAGTGAGCTGAACAGAGTGTCAAGGCCCTGGGAGCAGTGGCTGCAGCCCTCTGCTACTATGGAGCTGGTGTATAGGTAGGGCTCCCAGAGGCCAGAACTTTCCTGCATTCTCTACCTAGTCAGCTATCTGGGGGAAAATAGGTGCGATTGGCACGGAGTAAAGAGTTGGAGAATTTTCCATTTTCACAGCGGAGAGCCTACACTGTCATTCAGTAGGCAAAAGTACAAAGATGGTTTGCATGGTACAGACACAAAGCAGAGAACAGTGCAGGCCTCTGTCACTGTGCTGTGTGCAGGAGCTTTAAGCCAGCCCCGATACCTCAACCCTGAGCAGTGTGAAGCACAGGCGGGCACAGGAACCAGCTGTAGAGAACTGTCTTGTGGAAACAGGTTCAGAAATGTGGGTGTGAACCACAAGAGATTGATGAGATGCAGTACAGAGTTGAGTGGCCGTGGGAAACTCAAAGGCTTATTACTGTAGGCTATAAGCAGAAATCATAGAGAACACAGGGGTATCTGAGGGAGATCACGGTGGGTGTTTGGGTAGAGGAAGGGCTGGAATTGAGACCAGAGAGGAAGGAAGTTGGGCAGGATGCAAATGTGAGCTGCTAGCAGGGTCTCCCTGGCCTTCCTCCCTAGTAGTCACCATGAAGTCCTGTAGACAGGGCACCTGAGTTCTTTGTGCTCCATCAGGAACCTGGCTTAGACATCTCTGTTATGTTGCTGCCTTCTGGCCCTGCCACAGGGCTGGTGTAATGGAGGAAGTGCAGACAGGGTAATCCTTGAAAAACGTTAGAGGAGCAGGAATATTTCCTGAAATACACAAGAGCACATGCTGAGTGACCACAGGACGCAATGCTGAGTAAAGGTTCTTTAGCAGAAGACAGATGGTGCCTCCCTGTTAGAGCATGTTGGACTGTAGGGACAGTTCATGGGAGAGCTTACCGTGGCACCCTGTAAGCAAGTGGCGAAACCCCACTGAGCACTAGATGATTCTGGGAACAGTGTTTGAGCACTGTGGTTGAGGGTTCTCATTAGTGTGGCTCTTGGAGATGGAAGGACAGTGAACATAGATGATAGAGTAGGCCTGTCAGCAACAGGATGTGAGGCTGGGGAGGGAGGTGACATTGGTGCCTTGGACACAGTAGAGGATCAGTATATCTTGACAGCTGGGCGCTGCTGTGGGCCCAGTGGGTATATGAGGGTGCTCTGTGTCCTTACCTCTGGGCTGGCAAGTGCTTGTTCCTTCTCTCTGAGCTGTCTGTTAACATCAGCCTGGGAACAAGAGGAGATGGCCTCCTGGTTCAGCATCCTGGTTGTATGCACAGACACGAAACACGGTTCTTTTTGCACGACCCTGCAGCTGTAGCCTACACTGAAGGCACCTGACAGTGACTCCTGTGGGGTTGAAATGAGGCCTGCTCTTCTCTCCATGGGATAAGCATCTAAAAGAACTTTTAGGCTAGGCTGCAGCTTAATGGTGGCATTTATCTAGTATGTGTGAAGCTCTGGTTTCCATTCCCAGCACTACACATAAACCAGAATTACTGAGTAGTGATTTTTTTTCTTTTGCAAAAGTCCTGGGGCAGATTTAGAAGGTTTTCTTATTGGTTTTGCTTCATTTGGGAATAATAATAATAATCTAGTCCATAGGCCCTTCTCTTTCTTGTCACTACAGCCACAGTTCCCACAGTGCCTTAAGGAATCCACCTAGTTCTCCACTCCTCCATCCACCCCCACCTCCTGAGACACTTTGTAGCTCTGGCTGTCCTAGAACTCACTATATAGAACTGGCTTCAAACTTAGAGAGATCCACCTTGCCTTTGTCTGCTAAGTTCTGGGATTAAAGGCGTGCACCCTGTGTCTGGCTTTCCAGCTGGTTCTGATGGGGATGTTCTGACAGCCTCCTTCAACAAACATCTCTTAGTCAGCCTGTTTTTCCCCCACTGTTTGACTGTTTTTGAGATAGGGTCTCAGTGTGTAGTCTGTTTGGCCTGGAACTCACAGAGATCCTTCTGCCTTTTCCTCTTGAGTGCTAGGATTAAGACGTGTCATCACACCTCCTACGTCTTGGCAGGGACTATTAGGATGAAGCGGTCTCCAGAGCTGCTCTGTCCTCAACAGAGCAGATATTAGCTGCCTCCCTGCTTAGTGTCTATACCCACTTACAGCTTTGTTCTTCTGGCCTCTGGGTGGCCTTGGAAGGAGGAGAGAGAGAGGGCAGCACCCAGACGCCAGAGGCTGCTTCAGGCCCTCGAATACATGGTATAGCTGGAAGGCAGCAGCTGTGTGTGAGGTGTGTGAGGTGAGGAAGGGAACACAACAGCTGCATGTAGCTAATGTGAAGCTGCAGACTGGGCCAGGACACAAATGTGCTTTCTCTTAAGACTTTTCAGTTAGATTTGGTGTGGCGACATATATTTGTAATCTTAGCATTTAGGAGGCTGAGACAGGAGAATCTTGAGTTTGAGGGGAGTGTAGGATACATGGCGACACTTGTATTAAACAACAATGAAAATCCAAAGAAAAAGAAAAAGAGACCCTACCTCTTCACCAGGACAAGACAACTTGAGCCTGCTGCCTCAGCATAGGGTGAAGTGTGTGGAGTAGACACGAGAAGAAACCGCTTATATTTCAGGCCTCCAATCTGTTCCTGCTGTAACGAATTCGGGGCTGGGGGGAGTTCTATGATTCAGATAGGAGCACCATTGACATGCCTGTCCTCTGTAGTCCATATTGTATTCATTGTCTAGAAGGGGATGAGAGTTGGTGCCTTTGGAAGCCAGAGAGCAAATAGTGCAGGCTTTTTGCCTGTGTGGTGGCCTGCTTGAGTTGTGTCTTTTAGAGTGACCTAGGTAGTGCTGGCATGTTGAGCTGTGCAGGCCTTCCTGACCCACTGGTCTCCTGGTGAATCTCATGTGCTGTCCACACAGCCCCATGCTCTGCTTGGCTTAGTTTGTGGTACCCTCAGAGGTCACCGTTCTCCTGAGTGACTGATGTCTGTTTTCCAGAGACACCATGGATAGTGTGAAGCAGAGTGCAGCCCTGTGCTTGCTGCGCCTGTACAGGACATCACCTGACCTAGTTCCCATGGGCGACTGGACATCTCGTGTGGTACATCTCCTCAATGACCAGCACTTGGTAAGTGTCTGAGTTTCATTCCACTCTTAACCACCCAGCAGCCTTTTCAGAAGTTGTAGAAGCGGCGCTTTGAGATGCTCAGGTTGATGAGGGTGACACATGGTCTTCTCTGCAGCTAAGCACACAGGCTGCCATCATCTCCCTGCAGCAAGTCAGTTCCCCAGTGAGTCCATCTATGCAGGGTGATTCCCACTCAACACTTATGTTCCTGTAAGCTGTTTGTGTGGGGCTGTGATGGGTGTGTTCCACCTCTTGGCTGAGCTACAGTGTACAAGTCTTACTAAATTACCTATATTGTAGAAGACCCAGAAGTTTGTGATTTCATGACTAAAGCTGCTCAGCTGGGTGGGAGAGAGCTGTGGGCCATGGCATCTGCTGCTTAGACTGTTGAACAAGTGAATCTGATGACCTGGCTGGGGTCAGGCAAGTATGTTAGCTAGTTACCTTTTTCTCCCAGGATAATCTGTTGTGAAAGTTAAAGATTGTTAGATGCACATTCAGACAACAGTACATGAGGCTTGCACTGGACATTTTCAGTGACAGCCATTCAAGCTGTCCCTGTGTCAACTTGTGGTTGTTGAGATAGGAGTTAGAGTAGATTTTGAAGGGAGTGCAGAGAAGGTCCTGGGGAGGAGCTATAATGCTTTGTGAGTGGGCCCTGAGCACTTAGACCCTGAAGTTTGAGTACTGCCTGGGGATCAGAAGATACTGCTGGAGGCCACCCACTGTGTCAGATAAATGGTTTCTTCACCATTGACAGACTGTGTAAACAGTCAGAATTTTCCAATTTTATAGCTGAGGAAACCAAGGCTCAGAAAGGTTAAGATTCTCATACCTGTGTCAGACTTAAACCAGGTTTTTGGAGGCTGTGAGAATCAGGTGTCACACAAATGTGCAGATGAACCAGCTGTGAGGAGCATTGAGCAGCATTTGCACTAGTTCAGCACCTTCTATGGATGGTTTTGTCTGTGGAATTATGGCAGAAGTTATTTTTGGCTCCCTGTTGTCACCTGGCTGTGGCTTCGAGCCATTTCCAGATAGCAAGGCTGGGTCTTTGGTGCCAGGACACTGCCTGTCTCTGGATACTGATTCTGTGACCCCAGTTTCTTGTTGCTTTTAGTTTTTCACATGCATATTACTTTGCTAGCATTTTGGCTCATGACAGAAACTCAGTTCAAAGTAGATAGATCAGGTCATCATATCCAGACCCACAGGACTTGCTTAGTAGCCCAGCATGCTCTGTTAGCTGCTCCAAAGCCATGTCCAGCTTTTTGCCACTGTTGAAGGCCTGAGACGCTGCTCTCCTGGACTCATTCTTAGGGACTGTAAGGTGTCAGATGCCTGCTTATGGTAAGCTTGGTGCCTTTTCTGAGAATAGTGTTTAATTCCAAGGCCAAGGACCTGAAGGCCAGACCAGGAATACGTAGAGGCCAGCAGTAGAGGGATGTACTGGGTGAGGCAGGAGCTAGCCCTGGTGACCTGTAAGTGGGAGTAGATGACCTAGAGTTTCAAGGCATGAGCTGCCATCTGGGCAAGAGATTTGGAGATGGAGCAAAAAGCCAGGGGTGCCCTATATCCACCTGAGGCCAGGGGTTCCTGAGGACCATGTGCTAGCATACTTCAGTGTGCTTCTTATTTTTAGCTTCCTGTGAGACTACAGAAGGAGGGAGAGCAAACCATAATGTGGAGGGAGGCCAACTCAGTGGCCAACAGTTAGGTATTTGCATGTAGCTTGAGTAGCTGTCTTTCTTGTGGATTTGGTCTAGCAATGCCTGACTCCCAACCTAATGGAATTGACATTTGGTTTTGAACAAGCATCTTGCTATATAGCTCAGGCTGGCCTTGAAGTAACAATCATGCCTCTTCCTCTGAAGTACTGTGATTACAGAAGTGCCATACTTCCAGGCTAGAGATTCCTTTACTTAAGCAAAATCTTTCAAGAGATACGTACCGGAAACAGCTGTTTGTTGTCCTAGGACAGTGGTAGACCTCAGGTCTTGTGGGGGAATGCCATGGTGTGCTGGGGTTTGAGCTCCTCCCATCTGAGCCCAGGCTGTGTATGGGGATTCTGCAGGGGAGCAGTCTCCAGCCAAGTTAAGACACAGCAGGACTGTGAAGACTCAAATAAGTTGGAAGGTTCTATCTCCCATTACATTGGGCACAGTGATTTAAAGGCAACTAGAGCAGATAGGTACAGAGGTACACAGGTGACAGAGATTAAGGCTCTCAAGCTTTCCAGTTGCAGCCTAGCCCTGCTTCACCTGCAAGTATGTAGGCCAAGCTGGACTAGATTTCCAGTTTCCAGAGAGAATGTGGACCCAGAAGGAGCCAGTATGCCTTGCCTCAGTTTTACAGACCTCATGTCAGTCAGGGAAGGTCTGGGGACCAGGTAGCTGTAACCATAGAGTGTGCTTTATATGTACTGTCACCTGTGGTGCCTGCGGGCCTCCTGATTGGAGTCTTCGTCTTTCAGGGTGTAGTGACTGCTGCAACTAGCCTCATCACCACCCTGGCCCAGAAGAATCCTGAGGAGTTCAAGACCTCTGTCTCTCTAGCCGTCTCTCGACTCAGCAGAGTAAGTCCTTGTGTGGGGACAGGCATCAGGGTGGATTTGATCTTCATTGCTCGATGAATTATTACTTAATGTTTTAGAATGCAGGATATTTGACTCACATTGTAAATTCCAGAATAGAAATTGCCCCTGACAGTCCTTGACACATTTCTTTCTCTTTTAGTTGACAAGGACCCTGCCCTATCCAGTGTGTTCATTGAGGGGCAGTTGCCAGTGCCAAGTTCTCCTGTCCCCTCTCCTAAAGGGGAGAGCCTGTTAGCTGGTATAGTCCCCACCCACCTTCTCTGCAGCTAGGACTGGCCCTGGCTTTTTGTCTTGGATTTTGTCAGCAGGTCTGTGTGGCATGTTTTTATTTTGTATGTGTCTGTCTGGCAGCCTTGTGTGTGAACTCCTCACTTTTGTTTGGAGTAGCTGTTGCTACCTTTTTGATCCTGCAGAGAAGTGGCTATTCAATGGAATGCAGTGTAGTCATCCTTGTTGTCAAGCCTTTTGTTCCTTTCTGCTTGGAGATAATCATCAGTGACTGGCTGTGAGCAGCCCCAGGTGTGTCATGGTCTACATACATGTGTGTGAAATGTTGGTCGCAGTGGGATGGCATCGCTCAGGCTGTAGGGGTTTTCAGTAGCTTCTACAGTAGTTGCTGTTACACCGGTAGCAATGTTCCTCTGCTCTGGCCTTGCCTGAGGCTGCTCACTTTGGCCTTTTGGACTTACATCTTGTGACATAGCCTGATAATCATTGATGCTGCTGAGCATTCATATGGATTGGCACTGTTGGCTGCATTGGATTGGAACATGCAACTTTCTAGCACTTACTCCTTGCTGTTCTTCAAAAGTAGTAGGTGCATATGGCCTTTGCTGATCTATGTGTAGAAGTTAGTGTGACATGCTATTTGGCTTTTGGGGGGCCAGAGAGATGGCTCAGAGGTTAAGAGCGCAGGCTGCTCTTCCAAAGGTCCTGAGTTCAATTCCCAGCAACCACATGGTGGCTCACAACCATCTATAATGAGATCAGGTGTCTTCTCTTCTGGTGTGCAGGTGTACATGCAGGCAAAGATTGTATACATAATAAAAAATTAATAAATATAAATAAAAAGGCAGGCTTTCACTGTATCCAGACTGGTCTTGAACTGACAGCCCTTCTTCTATGACCAGGTGTATTACAAGTGCTGGCCATGTTAGTGTTTTGCAGAGTCCTCTGGTCAGACTTTAAGTTGCTGAGCCTCCACTGGTCAGCATACTAAATCCTGCTATTGAGGCCAGCTGCTCTCAGGCCATATCTAGGTGGCACAGCTGGCGTTGTTCAGATATGAGAGACCCAACATCCTGGACTACCCTAGAGAACTAGTTACTCTGTGGGTCCTACTTCCTGCTCTTCCCACACTGCTCTCTGGAGCTATTAACCTGGTCTCTACCCCCAGAATCTATTGCAAACCAGGAGTCTCTGTTACCTTCTGTAGCTTTTTAAAATTTAAGATTTTTAAGATATGGTATCAAATTTAAAGATTGTCTTTTATTAGATTAGTAGCTCTGCTTTATGTCTAAAATGCTATTCTCAGTGATTGCTTAAAAATTTTGTTCTTTTTTGAGGTGCAGAGGATTGAATCTAGTACCTGTATGTGTTAGGTAAGCACTTCTGCTGTGCTATATCACCAGTCTAGAATTTATGCTTTATTTTTTAATTATTTATTATGTAAACAGGGTTGTCTGCATGTATGCGTGTGTGCCAGAAGAGAACACCAGATCTTACTATAGATGGTTATGAGCCACCATGTAGTTGCTGGGAATTGAACTCAAGACCTTTGCAAGGGCAGCCAGTGTTCTTAACCTCTGAGCCATCTCTCCAGCCTGAATTTATACTTTATTATATAGTTGTCTTTTTATTTTTTTGTTTTTAGTTTTTGGTTTCTCTGTGTAGCCTTGGCTGTCCTGGACTTGCTTTGTAGACCAGGCTGACCTAGAACTCACAGAGGTCTGCCCACCTCTGCCTCCCTGAGTGCTGGGATTATAGGCGTGCACCATCAAGCCTCGTTGCAGCAAGAACTTTTAAACCTTTCTGTAGCCATCTCTGTAGCTCTCTCTTTTCATTTTTATATGGGTTCCGTGGGTTGATCTCAGGTTGTCAAGTTTATGAGGCATTTTTGCCCACGCTTCCAAGGTCTTGCTCTGTAGCCTAGGCTGGACTTGAATTGGAGATTCTCCTCTTCCCCCTCCCAAGTGCTGGGACTGTAGGTGTGCACCACCATGCTGCTCTGCAGGCATGCCTGATTTATCTATTTATTTATATTGCATCACATTGCTTATTTATTTATTTTGTGCTTTTCCTCACAGCCGTGGGGTGTGTTCTGCGATCTTGATTTGTGTTTTTCTACTGATGAAATTGGGCATCTTTACATTGCTCATTGACTGTGTGCTCATCTCATAGACAGAAGTGGCAAGTCCCACTTTTTTGTTTTTGGTTGTTGTTGCTTTTTTCCCCTGCTGGGAGGAATTGTTGCGATTGAACTGGTGGCCTGCGTCTAGGTGGTTTTCCATCCCTGAGCTACACCTCTCGTCCCCTTCTCTGCTGTAGCTTCATGGACCACATCTGAGGTGTGCTTCATTGACTGCACTAAGTCCTCTGCAAAGCATTTGCTCTTGATTTTCTTGGTTTTCTCTGTTGTATTCTCCTACTTTGTTCCCGTTTATGTCTTTCTTGTCTTCTTTTTTCCTAAACATTTAGAGTCTTCCTTGCCTTCCTGGTATAAATAAATGCTTTTAAAGTTGCAGGTTTCTCTTGAGCATGATGTAGCTGGAAAATACACATTGGAAAGACAAATAACATTGGGCCTGTCTCTGCATTTCCCAGAGGCGGTGTTGGCTTCTTTCTGTCTGGCTTGGCTGCTTGCTGTCTACTTTCTTCCTGTTTGTGGAGGGGTGTCTACAACCTGAGTTTGGAGCTTTCTAGAACGTGCTCACTTATGGCTAAAGGGTCACATAGGTACACTTTTAGGAAGGGAGTAACCCTGAGTCCTTAGAGAACAGGAGGTAACAAGCAGCTGGGCATGGTGGTGCAGGCCTTTAATCCCAGTACTTGGGAGATAGAGGTGAGTGGATCTCTATGAGTTCAAGGCTAGCCTAGTCTACAAAGTGTGTTCCAAGACAGCCAGGGCTATTGCATAGAAAAAGTCTACCTCAAAAAACAAAAACAAAACAAGAGTAACAAGAGGTAACAAGAGAGGACAAGGGGCTGTGTGCTGATGGGGACAGCTATGGCATCTGTGGTCAGAGCTAGGCCAGGGGCCATATTGGAGGAGGTGGAGATTGTATTAGAGCAAGTGCTGCCTGGCTCAGCCAATTCATAGCATGGCTCAGGCTTGGGGGCTGTGGGTCAGAATATTAGCTTCTTGGGTTGTCCCTTTCGTTCTGGGTGACCTTGAGGCATTTTCTTTAGCGTTTTGCTTACTTTCCAGCCCACAAAGGAAACACTGATTCCTTCTTTAGGTGTCAGTGTTTAGTACTAAGGGATGGTTGCTGCTTGGCTATTGCTTGGAAGCAGCCTTGGTTATCTGTGCACCATAGCCCTTGTGGTGACAGCATTTGGATATGTCTTCTGAAAGGGGTGCATAGTGTGAGCTGATGTGGCCATGCCAGCTTCTCTTTGAGAGGAGACAGGAAACAGTATTGAATATACTGAGTACTGCAAACTTCTCAGAAGGCATGGCCCAGGGAGCTAGGGCGGCTTTTCAGTGGGCCCCTGTGGAGGCTGCTGAGGACAGCCTCTTATCCACTCACCTGTTTTACAGATTGTGACATCTGCATCAACAGATCTTCAGGATTATACTTACTACTTTGTCCCAGCTCCTTGGCTGTCAGTCAAACTTCTGAGACTGCTGCAGTGCTACCCGCCCCCAGGTAATGTTCCCTGCAGCCCTTCTAGGGTTGATTGTGGCACCTCCCCACCCCTCAAATGGCATTCCCCATACCCCTTCCATGCTTCCTACTCCATGGCCACAGACTCAGTTCATCCCAAATTCTTCCTAAGGGAGAATTTAATTTCTTAGTTGATTAAAGGCTTTGCTTATTATGTTTAAAAGTTTATTAGGCGGTGTTTCAGAGTGAGGTCATGTTAGTGAAGTGCTGGCATGGTGGACACAAGGACCTGAGTTCAGTCTAAAGCACCAACATGAAAAAGCCAGACATAGTGGTACATGCTTGTAATCCCATTAGCAGAGAGGCACACACAGGAGGATCTAGTGTACGTTGACCTCTGTCCCCTTACACATGCACATATATCCACACACAACTGCTTGAGCACCACACACAAAGTTCTTTGGGAGCCTTGGTTCTCTTCTCTCTTCCTCCTCTTCTTTTTTTGCAATAGGTTCTTTTCTGTATAGCTCAGGCTGTCCTGGATTACTGGCATTTGGTTTCTATAGGTTTTAGTTTTAATAGTTTTTATATTTACTCTGTGTGTGTGTGCGCGCACTTATGTGTATTGTGGGTGCATGTGCCACAACATGCACGTGGAGGTCAGAGGGCAACTTAATGGGACTTGGTTCTCTCCTTCCATATGTAGTTTTTAAGGATTGAACTCAGGTCATTAGGTTTGATGGCAAATGCCTTTATTCACCGAGTCGTCTCACTGGCCCTTGTTTTTTTTTTCTTTTTTAAATGATTATTTATTTTCTGTGAACCTACATGTTTGTCTTTGTGAAGGTGTTGGATCTCCTGGATCTGGAGTTACAAATAATTATGAGCTACCATGTGAGGGCTGGGAATTGAACCCTGGTCCTTTGGAAGAACAGCCAGTGCTCTTAACTGCTGAGGCATCTTTCTAGCCTTCTTAATTAGGCAGGTCTTATGTAACTCAGTCTGGCCTTGAACTTACTATATAGTCTTGAACTCCTAATTCTTCTGCCTCTGCCTTCTGAGTGCTTTGATAAAGGTGTGTACCACCATGGCTGGCTTTATTTAGTGTTTTGTTTTGTTTTTTTTTTTTCCTTTTTATATTCCTCTGTATTTTCTCTGTTTTGAGGGTGATAACAGAGAAAAAGCCTCCTTGTCTGTGAAGCTCCTTAGAGGTTTTGCCCATAATTCTTAGGTTTTTATGACTAACATACTCTAAGTGGAAGTACTTTGTGCTTCTGAATAAGACGCAGGTGTGACTGCCACAGCTGCTCCATCCCCACCTCATGTTTATGACACTGGAACAGGGAGCTGTCCCATGGCAATTTTCAGATGCTCCCAGTCATACCTGCAGCTGGTAATAACCGTCAGAGGCACCCATAGGACCAGCAGTATATCCAAGGCCTCTTGCCTAGGTGTGGGATTAAGCTAGTAGGATGAGTGCCAAGGAGCCCAGCTGACAGTTGTGTCTTGCCCAGAAGACCCTGCGGTGCGTGGCCGCCTGACCGAGTGCTTGGAGACCATCCTGAACAAGGCCCAGGAGCCACCCAAGTCCAAGAAGGTCCAGCACTCAAATGCCAAGAATGCTGTGCTGTTTGAGGCCATCAGCCTGATCATCCACCATGACAGGTGAGCCACTGTCAGCAGCATACCCCTCTCAGAGACAGGGTGGAGGCTGGCCCTTGGTGTCTGCTGTTTGTGCAGAGGCTGACAGGTGGCCTCTTCTCTGGTCTTGGCTGTGTTGGGTAAAACCACTTACTCCTCTTGCTTCTCCAGCTCATGTGCCCTCTCTGGCCTCTAGGGCATCCCCGCTAGATACTTTTCTGGCTGTGGCATCTTCTCCAGACCTATATCTTCCTTCTGAGTATTTCAAGAGGCTTTTCTGAAAGGAAGGGACATCTGCATGCTGTTAGCTTTGCTGCTCAGGGAGGCATGCTCCAGTATTGTGGAGTCTCCTGGGGCAATGGTACTGACACCTCCCAGCTCCTGTAGAGGGTCCCGGGTGGGTCACAGGCAGTGGTTGTTTTACACAGCACAGGCTTGATTCTGATCGTTTATGCTCAGCCCTGGTGGCACGTTCTTGTTGTATGCCCATGGCACTGCTCTTTGAGACTCTGCCGGAAGCATGAGGCTCAGGAGCAGGTCTGTAGCAGACAGCTGCTTTTGCTATATCATTTAGATAATGTTGCTATGACAAAAACAGCCTGTCAAACTGGAGCAGGATTGAGACTGAACTGTTAAAAACAAAACTTGCAAGTAGGAGGGGTGCCACACATCTTTAATCCCAACACTCAGGGAGACAGAGGCAGGTGAATCTCCGTGAGTTCGAAGCCAGCCTGGTCTACAAAGCGAGTTCAAGGCTAAACAGAGAAACCCTGTCTTGAAAAACCAAGGAAAAAAACAAAAACGAAAAACTTGCAGTGTGAGGGAGATTTTATTGGTTCCTAAAAAACATGTAAGGAGGAATAGTGACGATTTAGCCTGTGTTCCACATTCATAGCCATCACCACACACTTTCTGCCTTAGCCTGGTCCAGTTTCCTGCGTGGCCCTGCTCCAGGTTGGTTTCTGTCCAGGTCTCTTTTGGATACAACTTGAAAAAAGCGAACTCTTGCACTACCAGAGCTTTCCAGAGTCCACTCTGGAGTAGAGGAGATCCCACAGGTTCATTGGAAAGTCAGTGCTTCTGCCTTACAGCTCCTCTTTACTGTACTCTTTACAACAGCCCTTCACTGGACTCCTTCCACTGTCACTTCTCATTGTACTTCTTACTCTGCTGCCTAACTGAGCCCTTTCCTCACTGCACCTCTTTACTGCACATTTTCCTTACTGTAGTCCTGCCTTACTGTGTCCCTCCTTACTGTACCACCTCCTCCAGCATCTCTCAACCCCCTGCTGTACATCTTACTCACTGCCCCCTTCACTACACTGCTTCCTCACTGTGCCCCTCCTTACTGTACTCTTCTGTCGCTCACAGCCCTCTCTGACTGTAGTCCTCTCCTTACTGTGTCTTTTGCTTCGTGCAGTGAGCCAAACTTGCTCGTCCGTGCCTGCAATCAGCTGGGCCAGTTCCTGCAGCACCGGGAGACAAACCTGCGCTACCTGGCTCTAGAGAGTATGTGTACCTTGGCCAGCTCTGAGTTCTCTCATGAGGCCGTCAAGACCCACATTGAGACTGTCATCAATGCCTTGAAGGTGTGCTCCTTGTTGGTCACGTGTGGCTACCTTTATGAGGAGGCCAGAAGACTAGGAGGTACCTCCTGTGGCCATAGACTAGTCCCTTCAAGCTGTTTAGTTTGGATCCTAGAGTGTTGGCCTGGCTCCTGTCACTTGTTGACATATGGGGTGAATATAATAATTGGGTGAGAAAGCTGTCCATCTTCCTGCAATGAAGCCCTGCGGTTCTCAAGGATACAGCACCTGGGAACAGAGCTCTAGCCAAGTAGCTGATTTTGTCTCTGTTGTAGCCGTCCTGCTCCACGGGATGATTTCATGTGACACCTGCTTGGGAGTCCAAAAATAGTATAGTTCAGTAAGCAGAAATAGGTTGTTTTTGTTTTTTGTTTTTTGCTTTTTTTTTGATAGAAAGATGAAATATTTTGTTCTCATCTTCAGGAAGGTTCACCTTGTCAAGGATTTTAGATTCTTTTAAAGATTAGAATTTCCAGGATTTAAAGAACCTGGCTGAGGGTACCTGTTTTCATATCTGCTTCTGAGTGTGAGAGTGACATTATTAATATGCACCTCTGGCATGGTACACACTGCTGTATCTACATGTTAGTTCATTAGGGAACCATAGATGTAGACCCTTCATCTTGGTGAGTGTTAAGCTGTAATGAAGCAGGTGTGGCCCTGATCTGTATTTTTGTGTAAATCAGTAGGTATTTTGGTGTCTGTCTTGAACATGAGGTTGCATTTTAGATTTAGTTTAGTCCTGGCTGGGTGTCTGTTCTGGTCATTCCCTTTGATCACAAAGACAGCTCTCATCTCAAGCTTCTCTAGGTGTTAGGTGCCCTCTGCCCTGTGCTGGGTCCTCCTGCACTGTTCACCGCTGCAGGGGCCTCCCATACCTGCACTGTGCTTTTCCAGCACCATGTGTGGTAGGGTTTCTGGAGTCTCTTTCTCACGCCACCTGGAGAGGGGCTCAAGAACCTGCCTCGGAACCATTTCCCAGGGCAACATGGAAGGTGCTGGTCTGTGCCCACACAATGGAGAGTCTTAGTGACTTGCTCATTAGGCTTGTGTGTGGTCCTCAGAGCCTGTCAGGGAGGAGGGAGAGTGAGCAGACAGAGCTAGAAGTAGGCCACCCAGACTGGACTAAGTATGATGGGACAGGGCAGTGAGTTATGTGTGGGTTCCAGGTGGCCTAAGCTGTTGGGTCCCATATATAGATAGTAAGGGGGCCCAGTTGGGGGCTTGGGGACAGGGAAACACCCTGCCTGATCGGGACAGTGCGGTGAGAATGCCCCAAGACAGCTCCTATGGCATAAATAGATGCTAGACTCATAGACTCACATAGAGCAGTGGTTAGCCACAGTCTACCAACCTGTGCTTTGCAGGAATGGCTCTGACTCTGCCTTGTTTCTCAGACGGAGCGAGACGTGAGCGTGCGGCAGCGGGCAGTGGACCTGCTCTATGCCATGTGTGACCGCAGCAACGCCCAGCAGATTGTGGCTGAGATGCTGAGCTACTTAGAGACGGCTGACTACTCCATCCGAGAGGAAATTGTGAGTCCTAGAGCCTACGGGGCTGCCCAAGCTGTGCCCTGCTTGGGAACTCATATGGACATGAGTTCCAGTGGATGGTTCCTGGGTGGTTTTCAGTGGCTGGCAGGCGGGCTTGAGGGTCTAAGACACTAGATAAAAGATTCCTTGGCATCAGCTTATTTGTCTCTTTAGCCTTCCAGTGTGGACATCTGGCAGTACAGAGTTTGGTCATCTGTGCCAGGCAAGCATGAGCTGAGTTTTAAGGGGAATTTTTTTCAAGATATTCTTATTTTGAACATGTAGTTGCTGCAGGATTGGTTTTCCTGGTGTCTCCTGGCATATTAGTGGTTAATATTTAAGCTGTGGTCAGTTTTGTGAAGTGTTAGTTTCAAGTGGATGCTGGTCAGCCAAGGTCATGCACACCTGACCATTGTTGTATTCAGCAGACTGCTTACATGAAACCCTGTGTCTTAGGGAAGAAATAGGCAGGTGCGCAACCACAGATGAGAGGCCCCGGCTTGCCACACTTAGTACAGCACTGATCTCTCTGTGGCTTCTCTGGACCCATAGTGACACTAGATAGGGGATGGGAGTGGGGGCAGCAGCTGTTGTGAGCATAGCCTCTCTAGTGCTCTACCTTGCGGAAAATATTTTCTCATGTGTCACTCCTGGAAGCTGAGTGCAATGTGAGGCTTCCTTGAGAACTAGTAGAGAGATGGGGTAGTGTGGACACTGGCTGGATTGCCTCACAGGGCCCTGCAGCAAGGGTCTAACGAGGAAGGGCCAGGAGGGCTATGCTGGATGTTTTATGACTGTGTCATGATCTAGGGAAGGCCTGAGAGAATAGAAGTCAAGAAGGCTTCTTAGAGGCAGTAACCAGCTGAGCTATGGGCTAGGAAATGAGGTGCTAGAAGGAAGGGTCTACAAACGATTGAAAGCTGCTGTCTCACACCAGGCAGAAGGTGCTGAGGGCCGCAGTCTGTTGATTGGCCTTTGCCATATTATAGTGGCTTTATAGAAACCCTTGAGGTAATTTTGGTTTTGTTCTATTCCATTCGTGTGCACGTGCATGTCTTCTGGCATGTATATGCAGTTCAGGGGTTGGTTCTTTCCTTCTTCTACATGGGTTCTGGGGATTAAATTCAGGTCATATATATATATATATATATATATATATATATATATATTCCTAAATATAACCTGTTAAGTCCATATAATGTTACTTGTATGTTTTCAGGGCTAGCCCTTTTGGCACTGACAGCCAGCTAGTGTGCTTTTCTCTGGGAAAATTGCTTTCCTCAGTTGCCTATATTTATTTGTAGGGTTGAGGCCTTGTGGGCTTTTCTTTGTCCACTTCGGCATGTCTATTAGTTCATCATTGTTCACCGTACATTTTGGTAATCATTTTGGTGAGACATTGTGGATGTAGCTCCTGACGTTACTAGGAACACAGTCTCACAGCAAACTCCCTGATCCTTTGGGTCTTAGGATTTTTCCTTTTCCACAGTGTTCTCCGAGTCAGCAGTGTGAAGCTTACTAGTTAGGCATCAGCTTGACTTCTCTGTATTTGAAGAGATATGTGAGTGTTGTCTTCAGCAATAGGGACTTACCATCAGTTTGTGGAGAGCAACCAGGAGATGTTTGGGAGCTTCCATGGGGCCCCTTTGGCCAGCACTCAACAAGGTGTAGCCCATTCCTGGCACTGGAGGTTACTTGGTGGCACAAGATGTCTAGTTAAGGCAGATTCCTTGTATATGTATATATTTTAGGAAGCTTCTGCAGTAGTAAGTTCAATATGTTTTTTCATAGCATAGTTTGTCTTTAATTTATTTATTATGTATACAGTGTTCTGCCTGAATGACAGAAGAGGGCACCAGATCTCATTATAGATAGTTGTGAGCCACCATGTGGGAATTGAACTCAGGACCTTTGGAAGAACAGCCGGCACTCTTAGCTTCTGAGCCTCAATATGTTTTTTCAAATGACCATTAGTGTCCCTCCTCCTAATCCCTCCTGTGCCCTTCCTTCCACCTTCCTCCCTATTTAGCCCTACTATTTTAATTTCCTTTATTTGTCCTTCCTTGGGAAATCCTATCCTACTCCTACTCATTTACTAGGTACCTAACTTCTGTGGTTATTCAGATTGTAGCATGCATATTGCACATTGAAGGCTGATGTTACAAACTGTAACATCAGCAGATAAGTGAAAGCATATGTGTCTTTTAGGGTCTGGGTTACCTCACTCAGGATGATTTTTTTTTTCCAGCTCCAACCATTTACCTGTGAATTTCATAATTTCATTTTCTTATCAGCTGAAAATATTCCACTGTGCAAATGTACCACAATTTCATTATCCATCAGTTGATGGACATCTAGGGTGTTTACAATTCCTGGCTATTTTGAATCGAGCAGCAGTGAACATGAGTGAGCAAGTGTCTCTAGTAGAAGGATGTACAATCTTTTGGGTATATACCCAAGTGTGTATATACCCACGTTTGGATATTTTTGCTTTTGAGACACACCCCTATGTAGCTCTGGCTGTACTAAAACTCTGTGTAAACCAGGCTGGCCTCAAACTCAAAGAGATCTACCTGTGTGCCTCCTATGTGCTGGGATTAAAGGTTTGCACCACCGTGCCTGGATTGCATAGCTGGATCTTGAGTAGATATATTTATTCCCAGTTTCCTGAGGTTCTGAGGAACTGCCATTGGTTTCTTTAGTGGCAGTATAAGTTTCAACCCCCAACCAGCAATGAATAAACACTCTTTTTCCTGAATTTTTGCCAGCATGAGCTGTCATTTGTTTTACTCATCTTGGACATTCTGACTGGGGTAGATGAAATCTCAAAGTAGTTTTAATTTGCATTTCCTGTATGGCTAAGGGTATTGAACATTTCTTCAAGTATTTCTCAACCATTTATGTTTCATCTTTTGAGAATTCTGTTTTGTTCTGTATCCCATTTTTAAATTGGGTTATTTGTTTTTTGTTTTTTTTTGTTTTTTTCTAATGTTCAGTTTCTTTGTTCTTTATCTATTTCTGATACATACTATCAGGTGTATAACTAGTAAAGACCTTTTCCCATTCAGTAGGCTGTCACTTTGCTGAAATGATGGTGCCCTTGCCATACTGAAGCTTTTAAGCTTCAGGAGGCCCTGATCATTAATTGCTGGTTTTAGTGCCCATGCATTTAACTGGGGTTTGCCTACAGTTGCAGAGGTTAGTCCATGAGCATCATGGTGGGCAGTGTGGTGGCAGGCAGCCTGGCCACCAAAGCAGTAACGGAGAGCTCATGTGACCTGCAAGTTGTAAGCAGACAGCCTGGCAAGGGCTTCTAAAACCGCAAAGCCCACCCCCTGTGGTAGGCCTCCTCTAACAAGACAACACCCACTCTAAGGCTTTCCCAAAACAATCAAACATAAGAGTTTATGGAGGCCATGCAGAAGCTCATTCGAACTACTACACTCTGGAAGTGTCAGGGAGTCAGCGAGGTAAGCTGATGCAGGGTTGGGGTGTGGCTGATCTTAGCAGATTGTCTTGAGTATCAGCATCTTGTCCCACGTGTAGCTGTTGTGCCCCGTTACACTGTTATGTCCCTGGAGCTCTTCTTACCTGAGCTAGCTTCTCCACTCTCGGAGCAGTGGCCTCTGATCCGAAGGCTTCCCATCTACGCTAAGCTTTAGGTCGTTCAGCAGCCTGGCCTAGTCTTGTGTGGCAGTATATGTTTTTTGTGTCCTGGGTAGCGTCTGCCTGAGGGCCCTGTTTTTTCTACAGGTGCTGAAGGTGGCCATCCTGGCTGAGAAGTATGCAGTGGACTACACTTGGTATGTGGACACCATCCTCAACCTCATCCGCATTGCAGGGGACTATGTGAGCGAAGAGGTGTGGTACCGTGTCATCCAGATTGTCATCAACCGTGATGATGTGCAGGGTTATGCTGCCAAGACGGTGTTTGAGGTATGGTGGGGAAGGGTGGGCACCCTTATTGGGGACAATGGTACCTAATCTTGTTGGGACAGAGAAGGGTCTCAGGGGTGTTGCTTTTCCCCCTTCTTGCTTCCATCTATAGTTCTGTCCTTCTTGCACTGATGGCCCCTATCAGGAAGCAGTTTCCTCTCACCTTAATCGCCATAATCATACTAGGGCTGAGACACTTGGGCTGTTGCGTGGCTTACTAGCTATCCTGTGCATGAGGGACATCATATGTCTACTTTATCTCAGGAGTCTCTAGGGACAGCAAATGCCTTGCTGGTGGGCCCCTTTGCTGTTGGCACTGCCCCCATCTGTCGGAAGCCAGGGTCTGCCCAGGCTTTAGGGGAGTCCTCCTTGACATAAAAAAATAGACCTTGCAAGGAAGGGCCTCCCTGTCTTTGCTGTGGCTTCACTTTGTGTCAGCTCCCTTTCCTGTGGCCTAGCTCCTGTCGTTCCCTGTTTCACAGGCATTGCAGGCTCCAGCGTGTCATGAGAACTTGGTCAAAGTGGGCGGCTACATCCTGGGGGAGTTTGGAAACTTGATAGCTGGGGACCCACGATCCAGGTAAAAGACCCAAGGGAACAGGGCTGTGTGCTGCACTGCCTTGACAGCCCGAGGGAGGAGAAGTCCCCTACACTGGGAGCGGGCAGCGTGTCCTCCTCCTCTAGCATAGGGTCCCCACTAGAGGTGTGTGGGACAGATGAGATAGTGTGACTCCCCATTTGTGCTCTCTGCCCCTCTCAAGCCCTCTGATCCAGTTCAACCTGCTCCACTCCAAGTTCCACTTGTGCAGCGTCCCCACCCGGGCACTCCTGCTGTCCACCTACATCAAGTTCGTGAACCTCTTTCCAGAGGTAAAGGCTACCATTCAGGATGTGCTGCGCAGTGACAGCCAACTGAAGAATGCAGATGTGGAGCTGCAGCAGCGGGCTGTGGAGTACCTTCGTCTGAGTACTGTTGCCAGCACTGACATCCTGGTGCGGGCTCCTGGCTGGGCTGTTTGGTGCTGGGGCCACTGGGCTGGTGCTGGGTGCCAGGATGGCCACACCAACCTCTAGTCCTTCTAACAGGCAACTGTCCTGGAGGAAATGCCACCCTTTCCTGAGCGTGAGTCCTCCATCTTGGCCAAGCTGAAGAAGAAGAAGGGCCCGAGCACAGTGACTGACCTGGAGGAGACCAAGCGTGAGCGAAGCATTGATGTGAACGGGGGCCCTGAACCTGTTCCAGCCAGCACCAGTGCTGCGGTGGGTCCTTGCCACTGGTTATCTGGAGCCCATCAGGGTCCCATATCCCCAAGGTTGAGATGAATAGGGCTGGTGTCTGTGGAAAAGCTTGTGTTTAAGTACTGAGAGTTCAGTGGAGTCCAACCCTGGACATGTGGCTGGGTGTGCCCCTGAGCCTAGGATCTTCGGGGCAGCCTAGTCTCTGAGGCCAGGTTATGGCTTCTTGGGACCAGGCCAGCACCTGTGGCTCTCTGTGGTGGCTTATTTTTAGACCTGAGAGCATAAAGTTTTTCTGTAGGAAGCTGGTGTGTGTGTTTTCTGTCGATTTAGAATGGCTTGCCGTTTGCCTCTTGGAGGTTTCCTGTAGTGACTGAAATAGGACAAACTCCCCCTCTGTGTGGCAAAATGAGAATATTCCTGTGGATGGAAGTGTACAGTGTCTGATATTCATTTGGATGATATGCCATTTGGAAAGTTCATTACTGTCTTTCTCCAACTAAAGCAGGAACTAGGAATGTGGTTCATCAGATGTGGTCTAGGCTTTTTTGGTTCTTTTCTGATCAGCCTCTGTGGCCCTGTACCACTTGGGGGAACATATGTGTTGCTGCCTTTGGTGGCCCTTTTGAAAGAGTTATGCAGCCACATAAAGGAGCCCAGGAGTGCACTCTGTCCCCAGTATCCCATTCCCTTCTTTGTGCCAGACAGCAGCAGTAATTAGGCCTGTTTCTGGCTGAGGCCTAGCAGGCTGTCACTCACACCTGTGCCCCTTGCATGACAAAGTCTTTGAGCATCTCATTTATTTGAAGTAATATTCATACACATTGTCACATGCTTATATATGAACTTACAAAAACCACAGCATATTACAGCTGTTTTAAAGGATAAATAAATAAACAAACAAACAAACAGAAAAGGATAAACACTTCGGCTTCCCTGCTAATACGTTTTCATACACTGTGGGCGTTCTTTGCTGTGGCTCAGTTCCAGGCCTGGTCCTGTTTGAAGGAGTTCCTGTGTCTGGGCCAGACCATTGCTACCTGTGTGTGAGGTACATGTAGACAGTGACTACCAGCTGTGCGCAAGATGTGCTGTTGAAAATAGATTCGGGATCTAGTTTCATGATGTTTGCCTTCGTGCATGACCAGTAGGATGTTCAAAAGTCATTCAGAGTGGCTCTTGAAGGCATTGTCTCATGCCTGTAGCAGCCCACATTTATAGAGTAGCCTGGGGAATGCTGTGTACCGCACACGGAAGTGTGGGTCGGCTGTGATGTGGCAGGGGCACCTTTGAGTAAGTCAGGTCTGGGGAATGAATGGTGTGACAAGCTGTTTCCTTGTAATGAGGGCTTTAGTTTGCTTGTTTTTTTTTTGTTTTTTTTTTGTTTTTTTTTTGTTTTTTTTTGTTTTTTTTTTAAGATAGGGTTTCTCTGTGTAGCCCTGGCTGTCCTGGAACTTACTCTGTAGACCAGGCTGGTTTTTAACTGAGACATCCCTCTGCCTCTGCCTCCTGAGTGCTGGGCTTAAAGGCCTGCTCTACCACCGCCTGGCTTCAAGGGCTTTTTTCTTGATGATTTTATATATGTGTATTGTACATATTGATCACTCTCTTCCTACCCTCTTACCTCCCCTCCACCCCTTCTACCCACTTTCCTTCCTACACATTTCTTTCTCTCATTCCTGTCAACAGTCAGTTGTTGATGAGGGAAGGACTGACAGGGCTCTAACCCTTACTGATGAACTTTTGGCCATTGATAGAGTCTGGGAGTGGTGGAGTCTTTTTCTTTCTTTGTGCATCCACTATTGAGCCCACCATGCTTCAGTAGATAGCTCTAAAACTATCGTTATATAGATATTAAATTCAGTAGATCGTACACCAAAACTTTTCTGTTGCTGTTTGTTTGAAACCAAATCTTCATATTGTAGGCTGTGCAGCCCAGGCTGGCCTAGAACTTGCTATGTAACAAAGAATGACCTTGAACTCTTGCTTCCACCACGTGCAAACCTTATTCTGTTTGAATAGTTGACAGTAGTGTGCATGGACTTACCTCTTAAGCCATTCATTTCCATCTTTTAGATGGCAAAACTTTTTTTTTTTTTTAAGAACTTTGTTGTTTTTGTTCGTAGAGCCATCTGTGGGGAAATGCAGATGGTTTTCTACTTGTATGAAATTATGCTGACGGTATGAAGTGAGTGTCCTCATCTGGACTCAAGGGTCTGGAGGAGGTTTGCTTTGCAGGCGGCAGCTCTCACTTGCTGCCCTGCAGTCTCTGGACTGCTCTCTCCCTCCATCCCCCAATACCTGGCTGTGGAGTACACACAGGGCTGGCCTGGTCTGAAGCATCCAAGTATTCATGCTGATTCTCCCCTTTCTTCTCTTCCAGTCTACACCTTCTCCATCAGCAGACCTGCTGGGTCTGGGGGCCGTTCCCCCTGCTCCCACAGGGCCCCCTCCCTCCTCTGGCGGTGGGCTGCTGGTGGACGTGTTCTCAGACTCAGCTTCTGCAGTTGCACCTCTTGCTCCCGGCTCTGAAGACAACTTTGCCAGGTAGCCCAGTTTTTGAGTACTGCCTGGGAGACGTGCTGGGGACCCAACAGTATTGGTGATTTTGTGCTTAATCCCTAGCACCTAATGGATACTATTAAAGAGGAGGCTGGTATTCTTATAGACAGAGCATGTAGGTGGCTGTGCTTTGCTTTGGAGTCTGATGGCACCTCAATGACTTCTTTTCCTTGGGGAGTTTGAGAAATGCTCTGAGTTTGTTTCTTCTTTCCTACATACTCTACCCCACCTCCCTTGTGGCTTTCAGCTCTGTCAGGGTTTTTTTTTTTTTTTTTTTCTTTTTTCTGTGTTTGGCATACACCATTTTAAAAGAAATCTCCTTCAGCTCTGTGCATAGCTGCCTTCTACCATAGTGTCAGGTGCTTGCCTGGCTCTTTCTTGCTGACTCCATAATTGTCTTCTGCTTATATACCCCTTGTCCAGCTACTTTCTCTATTTTCTATTTTTAAAGCTTTGGGGTCACTTCTCTTCCTTGTTGGCTGATTTTGCCAGCTTCCCCGCTGCTCCTCACTCTGTTTTTGCTCTTGTTCATGGGTGGTGTGGAAGCTCCTTGTGCCGTCCAGTGGCAGTGGACTCTGTCTGGGAGACGTTAGACTGCAGTGTAGGATGGCCTTTTCCCTCCCTGGAGATGACACACTAGGGTTCTTGTGGTTTTAGTTTTCATTTCCTTGTATTCATTTTGCACATGTTCCTTCCTTCCTGTTAGGAAGTGTGTGTTTGGAGGAGGCTGCCTCTGTGGGCTATGAGCAGACTTCTGATGGCTTGAGAACTGCCGAGCTTGGTATATGAGAGCTTTGAAAACCCGGCTTCCCAGGCCCTTGTAGAGGCAGTGTGGAGTTCAGCCAGTCAACCTAGTTTTGACAGGCTCTGCATCCTTAGCCTTGCTCTGTTGTCATTTCTCCCTGACAGCCATAGGCCCTGGCCAGCTATTCCCTAGCGTCTGGTAAAGAAGGGTGTGCAGAATGTGGGTGGTAGTCATTTGCAGCCTTGAGTCTCCCTCAGTTGGTATAAACTTGTGGTGTACGCTCCCCAGCTCCAGGCAGTCATATACCTTTACTTTTCCCTTTTCCTGTCCTATTGGTCTGATCCTTGAGGATCAGGTCTGTTAAGGTTAGGGTAGTTCTTCAGGACACTAGCCGATGCAGAGATTTGCCTGTCTTGTTTGATGTGTTAGGGTTACCACATGTTGTTTACTTGATGCATTGTGGAAGGGCCTGTTGCTTTGGGCAGTGCAGCAGGTACGAGGGAAGTTGCACCCTCCATAAGCCTAACATGACTGCTGTTTACCTATGAGTTCCTTTGGGTCAAGGTGTAGTAGAAAGGAATTTTGGAAACAGCCAGCCAGCCATACATGGATGGCAGGGGCTTCTCTGTCATGTAGAAGATAGATAGATATGCAGACCCAAGTGTGTGAGCTCCATAACCTCTGTTCAGGCTCCTTGAGTAGCATCCAAACTGGGCTTGGGTAGAGTGCTAGCCTAGGTTGAGGGGCCCCTGTACTAGTGTTGGAGCCTCAGAAGCCTCAGACCAGGCTGAGGTTCTACTGTCCAGCCACATCCTGTGAAGTAATGGTCATTCACATGTATGTTGTTAACATGTTCTCAGAAGTGTTGGGAAAGAAGTGAATAGATAGTGTTTTGTTTTGGGAGCTCTCACTGTAGTCAGAGGTAGGCAGATAGCTCTTGGGTTGTGACCTGGATGGCTTGAAAAAGCTGGTGACATTTGGGTCTTTGGTGTGTTCACAGGGGACTCTGTCTCCATTGCTCTTGTGGGTATTGTATAGAGAGTGGGGCCACAGAGCCCCTTCTGCCCTGAGTGCCAGGGACAATGTGATGGCTTCACTGCAAGGAAGCAGCTGTTGCATATCCTAGAGTGACAGCTGTGGAAAAGTTGATTGAGTTGATTGATAAATGATCCAGGGCAGAGGTCATTTGGTTCTTGAATCCACTCAGGTAGCAATTGAGACCTTTAGTTGTGCTGCCACATGTGACCTTCTCAGGCACAGAGGAGGTCCAGCCACACCTTCTGCAGACCACCCATTTCTAGCCTCCTCAACCCCACATCCCCTTGGGTGATAGTCACAGAAGATGCCACCTGTTTCTGAGGGGTACCTAAGGAGGCTTGCCATAGGCTCCTGGCTCTGGCTCTAGCTCTATAGACCATGATAAGGCCCTTGAAGCTTTTTAACTTTGTCTTTCTCTGTCTCCACAGACAGAGATAGCCCAAAAATACTTTAAGCCCTTTCTAAAGCAAATCCTTCTACTTCTCGTGAGTGGCTCTGCATGATGCTTAACTCTCCTTTTCTCCTAGGTTTGTTTGTAAAAATAATGGTGTGTTGTTTGAAAACCAGCTGCTTCAAATTGGACTTAAGTCAGAATTTCGGCAGAATTTAGGTATGTGTTTTATCCCCCACTCCCCCTGGATATGTGTTTTATTTAATGTGTTTTATTTAATTTCTAATAGAAATTATTAGAAATAGCCAAGCATGGTGACACACATCTGTAATCCTAGCATTTAGAGGCAGAGACAGGAGAATTGGGACTTTGAGGACACTCAGGGCTAAATAGCATATTCCAGGCAAACTTAGGTTACATAGTGAGACATCCCCCAACCAAAAAAAAAAACAAAAAAAAAAAAATTGTTTTAAAAAGCCAGCTATGGTACCCAGGAGGCAGAGGCAGGTAGATTATCTGTAAATTTGAGGTCAGCCTGGTCTACATAGTAAGTTTCAGGACAGCCAGGACTTTTACACAGAGAGGCCTTGTATCCCCTAGTCCTAGCACTTGGGAGACTGAGGCAGGAGCATCATCATAAGTTCCAGGCCAGCCTTGGCAATAGTGTAGGAGCCCGTCTCAAAAACAAAACAAAACAACAAATAAACAAAAACAATAAAAACAACCCAAAAGGAATTAGGGGAAATTATGTAATGAGAAATGTTAGTAATCTATAGACTGACACGTATCATGGCAGGGTGGATGATGGGCAATGCATAGCTAAGCCTTGTGCATAAATGGTCTTTTTTAGGTTATATGTAGTTTACCACAGCTAAAAAGGGAAAATTTTTTTCTTGAGTGTCAAGAACATTTGCCCACCAAACTCTCAGAGTTGTTACTCAGATGGGCTCTAAGTCTCTGAGAAGGGAGAAGGAGCGTGGAAGACAAAAGGCAGCATGCCTGCTGTGCAGGAGCTGTGGATGTTGAGGACCAGTAGCGTTTCTCTGAGAGATGCCAGCTGACCTGACACCCTGTACCTGCTCTGACTAAGCCTTCCCCCTTGCCATGGTGCCGTCACCAGGTTTGGTTGAGGAGAGAAGCTAAATGCCTATCTTTTCCAGAACTTTTGGGATTTGGTTTACTGTCTGAAACTCTGTACGATCTGGCCAGCTGGTATAGGGAGCACGTCCTGGTTGTTCACTGTAGGGGCATGGCATGTTTGGAGGACAGTCCTCGCTGTTGGGATCAGCAAGTGGGCCAGCTGCTAGACTCAGGTGGAGGATACGTGTGTCTAAGTGCCTTAGGTGGAAGCCAGGCTGGTCCTCAGGTTCCTCCTGACGTGGTGTCAGTGGTTCTGGTTCTAGTTTGCAGAAGTGTAGCTTTTCACCCTTACACAAGAAGGAGGCGCCAGGGCAGGTGTGAAAGGTATAAGAGAATACACCTCCCTCATTCCCATTTCTATTCTTGCTATGCTATGTTTTCATTTGTGTGTTTGGCTTTAGTTTTGTTTTTGAAACAGGTTCTCATGTAGCTCAGGCTGCCCTCAAATGTACTATGTAACTGAGGCTGTTCTTGAACTCCTGGTCTTACTGCTTCTACCTCTCACATGCTGGGATTACAGGCAATTGCTACTGTACCTACCTGCCATTCTACTTTAAAACTAGAAACTTGATATGATGGCTCATGTGAATAATTCTAGCATTTGAGAGGCTGAGATAGGAGGATTGTCATGAGTTCAGGGCTACATAGGGCATTCTAGGCCAAAGTGAAACCAAACAACTGTCTGATTAAGCAAAAAATTAGGGAAAAAAAAAAAGGTGTTTTTAATTTTAGTAACAGTCATAGCTCACAATAAATACATTCAGCTGGGAATTGCAGGGGCCACTTTTGACAGACTGTTCATGATAATTGTAACATAGTGTGTATAAAATAAACTACCTCTCTTTCTTCCTAGGCCGAATGTTCATATTTTATGGTAACAAGACCTCCACACAGTTCCTAAACTTCACTCCAACACTAATCTGTGCTGATGACCTTCAGGCTAATATCCTTGCTTATCTCGAGGCTCTCAGACAGACAGACAACAGTGGTGTTAGAGGAAAATTGAGGAGGAATGCTTTTGTTCATATTGGCAGTGCTTTCTGGTGGCTAGGTAAAAGCAGGGGCCTTCCCCTTGAGTTGACCTGCTGGTGCATCAGACACCACCCACACATCTGTCTCTTCATCTGGTTGTGTGAGTCACTCTCCATTTGCTTGTTTTACTCTCAGTCCTCTGCCCTGTGAAATCCCCCAAAAGGAGCTGAGGCCGAAGGCAGAGTGATCCTGTGGTAACTAGCTGGTATGGAGCACCTTATGCCTATTGCGCTTATGTGTGCTTTGGCAGCCCTTTGCTCAGGCAGAGGATGGATCCATGTGGCCCACCAGGAATGGTCAGGAATGCTGGACGGCTTCAGCTGAGGGCCTGCGAGAGAGGGATGGCTGGCATCTACATCATGCAGACCAGGGTCCGCAGTGGCCAGGGATGCCTGCCTTGGACCCATAGTATGTAAAGCAATGAGTGTCATCTGTAGTAGATCTGTGTTCATTTGGAGATGAAGTATTTAAACATAAAACCAATGCTAAGTGCGAAGGCCAATATGCTGCTAGTGTACAAATTCCAAGATCTTTTAGAGAAAGGGACTAGCCAGATCCATACGGCTGTAGGTAGTCTGGGCCAGTGGGATATGTTGAATAGTGGAAGGGCAGGCTGGCAACAGTTTTGGGCCTTGATCTATGATGTTGGCAAGGTTCTGTGTGCTGCTTTCTGTGGCGGGCTGGCTGGGCTGGGCCTACTCTCCCTGCCTGCCTGGACTCCTTAATGCACTCACATCTGAACCTGCAGACCAAGCCCGTGGACCCAACCGTGGATGGGGGCGCACAGGTGCAGCAGGTGGTCAACATTGAGTGCATATCTGATTTCACAGAGGCGCCTGTCCTCAATATCCAGTTCAGGTGAGCGGCGCGTTCCTCCTGGGCCTTTCCCAGCCTGCGGGAGTTAATAAATGAGTGATGTGCCACTTTGCCTGTGTGCAGAGTACTGCCAGGCTTACCTAGATTTCCAGAGTATAGGAGCAAGTGGAGAGGGACCTGGCTTCTGTGACTATGGCATAGTTCTCGTGGGGTTTGAGTGTGTGGTGTGTAAGCTAGGCTATTTCTGACCCAGATGATTTTGTGGTGAGAAATGGAAGGGCCTATCCTCCTGGGAGGCAGAGAGCTAGGCCCTCCATGCTGCTTGCCGAGGCTGGCTGACAAAGACAGCTTGAGGGGTAATGATGGCAGCTGGTTTGGAGCCTGGCTTCTGGACCATAGCCTGTAGCCTTCTTTCCTTTTTTTAGTGACTACCATAGAGTGGATGTGAGCAGTGGTTTCTTTTTGGGAAGCTACAAGGCTAACTGATTTGATAGGAGTTCTACTTGAGCCTGTCCTGGGTCTTCATTTGCCAGAGGGGTAGGACTGAACGAATCTGGCCCTCTAACACTTAGCATAAAGTAGTGGCTTGGTCCCTTGCTCACCTCTGAGTTGAGGGATGGATGGAAGATGTGGCATAGCCCTTCTAGGAATACAGTGGGTATGCAGTCTTTATGGCTATTATTGGGATGGGTGGCCGCATGGCCCTTCTTTAAGGCCAGAAAACCCACCAACTGGGGCATTCTGGTCAACCATCTGGCTAGGCATTCGTTTTCAATAACATGATTCTATTGTTATAGGTATGGTGGTACCTTCCAGAATGTGTCTGTTAAGCTCCCCATCACTCTCAACAAATTTTTCCAGCCCACAGAAATGGCTTCTCAGGATTTCTTTCAACGTTGGAAGCAGTTGAGCAAGTGAGCTGTACTGTGGGTGGAGAGGAGAATGTGGGGAGTAGGGCTGCCCCTGGACAGGATGCTCTATGGGTCTCAGCATGGCTTTTAGTACTAAAATGCTGATTTTTTTTTAATAGTCCACAGCAAGAAGTGCAGAATATCTTCAAAGCAAAGCATCCGATGGATACAGAGATCACTAAAGCAAAGGTAAAGGGTTGTATGGTGATGTCCCTGAGGCAGGTGCTGTGGCCGGTGAGTCCTGACCTGCCTCTTCATTCTGTAGATTATTGGATTTGGTTCTGCACTCCTTGAGGAAGTTGATCCAAACCCTGCAAATTTTGTGGGTGCTGGCATAATACATACCAAAACCACCCAGATTGGCTGCTTGCTGCGCCTGGAGCCAAATCTGCAAGCTCAGGTAAGGTCGCCATAGCAGGGAGGTTGGATGTGTCTGTGTTGCTTTTTATTTTGGTGCAGTTTACTTACAGAGATATTGATATTCAAAGTGTTGTTGGTCATGGTGACAGTGCAGACAGACACTTACTGGCCATCAGGGCACATAGTTCCATCTTCTCACAGAAGGCCTGGCATACCACTACCGTGCATGTGCAGCAGCCTAGGCCTAAGCTGTGTCTAAGCAGTTCTCCTGGTGCTGTCCTGTGTCCCTCTCTGGATGTGGTGTACATTGCTGCTTGCTTTAGCAGTGTTCCCCTAGAGAATCCAGCTGTGTATTCTATTCTGTGTATAGATACTTGTTTTCACAACGCTTGGGCGATTTTGGGAGTGTAGTGGTCATTTCACAGCGTGGTACATAGTGAACTTGAGATCCTGCCAAGCTGGTTGTGTTGTGGTACATGCCTGAAATCTCAGTACTCAGAAAGAGAAGGCAGGAGGAGTAACAAGGCCAGCCTGGGCTACACAGTAATACTGTGTCTCAAAGTACAAAACAAAAGAGATTTTTAGAGGGGCTGACTGGCATCAACCTCCATTAACAACCACCCCTCATGCTCCAAACACTTGCTTTTATTAGAATTTTTTTTATTTTACTGGTGAAATGGTGGTGCTTTGGGAAAGGCTGCTGTGAATGGTGAGGCCTGGGTCGCAAAAGTACCTGCTAAGGTTAGTGTGGAGCTCAGTGCCTGCTCATTCTGCTGCTCTCTATTTCAGATGTACCGACTCACCCTGCGTACCAGCAAAGACACCGTCTCTCAGAGACTATGTGAATTGCTGTCGGAACAGTTCTAATCCACAGACCAGAAGATCAGGCTCTTTGTTTGTGCGTCTCTCTTGTCTCTACTGTTTGTCTTTGTACCACACTGCAGATAAACACCCCTTGTCTGAAAACTGCCACTCAAGGCACCTCCAGTCCTACACCTACAGCCAGCCCTTGGGTGTGGAGGGAATGCAGGACACAGTTTGAGAAGGGCTGCAGCAGGCCTGCCCCATCAAAGAAGGGTGCCTGGGCCTGGAAAATCAAGGCAGCCCTGTGGTTCAACCTACAAATTAAAGGGAAATTAGAAGTTTGAATGAAAGTGGAAATTTTGTTCAAATTTTATTAAAATGCCACTGGCTCGATCTCAGAATCCAGAAGCAGCACCATGTGCTTTTAGGGTTAACACAGAGCTGTGTGGCTATGTTGGATGGTGACAGCAGTGGCTTAAAGGTATGTGGCCTCATGGGCTGGGGAGTGTCCGTGGGGTTTGCTGTAGCACTATCTGATGGTGCTGAAGTGCTTGTGTTTATGACTGTTGGCAAACTCCATGCCCCACATGGCAGGATCTTGTGCCTAGCATACCAGTGTTCTTGAAGGGACAGTTTTAAGATTTTACCACTTATTTGAGATCTTAGGTTTGCAGCATGGTGGGCAGAGGGGTTCCTCTTGACTTTGGGAGACATGGACCTCACCCATCTTTTGTTTCTAATGAATGTACTGTTCCTGTGGTACATTCTGGGGACTTGAAGGTTGAGTGGGTAGGGTGGTGAAGTCATCATTCATAAGGTGTGCTTCCCTCCAGAGCATCTCAGTTGGTGCCCCATTGTTGCATCCCCACTTCTGTGAAGCTCTTGTGGTTGGGTGGAAAAGGGAGACCTAAGTGTGGCAATGGAGTGAAAGGCCAGGGTGAGAATGGCAGCTCAGGTAGGTGCTATGCAAAGGGTGCGCTGAACTTCCTAGCTTGAGCACTGGTAGCTCATGGGCTAGTGGTTAACCTTGTGTGGGCATTAGAGTGTGTGTTCAGCCCATCAAGGGAAGAGCATAGGTCGCAGCAGAAGCCATGGGATCCCAGGCCGGGCCCCTGTGCTCTGTCTTGAGACAATGCCCAGGATTGCTGCAGCCGTAGCTGTACAGGTTTATCTGTACTTACACAGCAGTGTTGATGCCCCTTGCTCACTGGAGCACTAGCTGTGGTCACATATGCATGAGGGTTGGTTTTTTTTTTTTTTTCCCTCAGCATCAGGCTGTGTGGTGGGTTTGAGGACTACAGCAGGGCTACTCAAGCTACTGCAAGCTTCTACAGTCCAACTTTGTATAGCTCAGGCAGTTAGTTTCAGAACAATCAGCATCTACTGAGCTGACCTTTGTGTTCCATGAAGCCCTCGGTCTGCCTGTCACATGTTCTGACCCACACCTGCCATGGCACAGGCTTGTGTTACAGATGGATGATCTAGCCGTGGCCACAGTGAGCCTCCGAAATTCCCTCGCTCTAGTACCTGGACAGTGTGGCTGCCCATTACATGCACTATTGCATGGACCATGTGGATAACTCAACCTGTGTGGCTGTGGCTTTTGTACCATGTGCTGCTCAGTGATGGTGTCTGGATCAGTAATGCCCCAGCACACAGAAGCTGCTTGGGGCACAGGCCTGCCTTCTGTGACTCCCAGGCCTTCATCAGTACAGTGTGCTTGTTCTCAGAGAAAAAAAAAAAATAAATGCTAGGATAGGAAACTGGATGTGTGTGATCTTTCTGGGAAGTGTCGTGCACAGCCCTTAGTCCTTGCCCTGTGGAATTGAGTACAACTCAGAGCCAAGGACCCTGGAGTGCTACCTGGAGTGCTACTCTAAATTGAGGGGTGCCTCAGGAAGTGGTTGTCTGGCTCTGTGTGATGCTGGGAGTGTTGAACCTAGCCTGGATCCACACGCTGCCACACATGTGTGTCTGCAGTCCACTGAAGTCCTGTACCTGGAGGTTTGGGTCTAAGCACATAGGACCCATGGACTTTCTTCTCTACCCAGGTGTAGGCCACACATGAGAGATGGGCCTTGCCTGGGGAGCCTGGAACATGGTGGGATTCATCACAGACTTGTCAAAATCCTGGGTGGAAGTGGCTCAAGACCAGGACTGGTGATCTTTCTGTCCTAGCCCCACTTAGCACATGGGCCTCCACAGTCCCAGGTTTTGGTGGCCTGGCCTGTGCCATTATTTGAGACGGCATGCTCGGGATTCTGGGAGACAGCAACAATATGTACACACCAGGCTTTGCCTTGAAAAGAACCATTTTATTTGGAATCCACTCATTGTGGGTTATGGCCTCCCATGGTGGGTACCAATGCCTTTTATTCCTTCCTGCCTCTGAGGAGACCTTTTTTGTGTTTGTGATGTTTACCTTGCTGCTTGTCCCTACCCAAGGCTCATACCCCTGCATCTTCCTCCTATGATTTCTTATGTCTTCCTATTCTGCCTGTTCTCAGCATCTGCCTCGGGTGCTCGGATCTCTAGGGTGATACAGCTAGAGGCTGGGAGGTGCTATGCAGGTGGACAGGAAATTCCCAGTGCATCAAGGTTGAAAGGATGTTAGTAATTTATTTCCACTAAAGGCCTGTTCTGCTTGGTCAAGGTCTGCAGGAGGTAGGTGGTGGGAGGCCCTGCGTGACAGCTGTTTCTCTCCAGTGGTCTCAGGGTGAAACATGTCCAAGGTGTCTTTTAGGCCCATGGCCAGAAAAGGGATTGTTGGGGAGGCAACAGGAATGAATTTTTTTTTTTTTTATGACCCCTTGTACCCAGAAACCAGTTGCTCTTATTTAGTTCTTGCATTGCAGGGGACTGCATACACAGCCGCTGAACACTTGGAGGGTGAGTGTGAGCTGCTGACCTGGTGTGTTGGGATCTGGGCAGGGCAGCGTGAGTTGCTTCTTGTAAGTACTAAGGGGCTGGCAGCAGCCACAGCTGGTATCCAACTGCAGGGTGTCCGTATTGAAACTGCCAAGAAGCAGAGACCAGCAGGGTCAGGATGCGCTGCCATCACTACCACCACCACCACCATCACTACCACCACCATCATCAAGGACAGTCCCAAAGGAAAGAAAAACGCTGTAACTGATTTGTAGGCCAGGTATTCTGGAGCCAGCACCTGCTCCTGGGCAAGGCAAGTGTAGCCAGAATGAACTGCCTAGACCTCTGTTGGTCAGAGCAGGTGTGGGAAACGTTGAGAGCCTAGCTTCTGTGAGGGTTCTGGCCCCAGCAGAAAGGGTGTTTGCCAGCAACTCACCTGACAGAGGAGGCACAGAAACCCTGACAACGAGTTAGAGTCACATTTGCCACGCAGCCCTGGTAGGTGATCTGTTGCTCCTCCTCTTGCAAGCTGCAGGCCTCTGAGGATGGAGGCCCAAGAGCAGGTCTTAGTCCCTTCCCAGTACCCCTGGCTCGTCCCTAGCTCGTCACAACTTTCTTAAAGGATGTGACATTGAGACAGGCCCTGGTGGATCTGAGTCAGTCACCCATAGTGCCCAGTAAAGGTGTCTTCCGGGTCCAGGAGGATGTTGAAGGAGAATGTTCATATCCCTCGCAAAGAGAACATAGAGTATCTGAGAATAAGCATTGTGCCACCTGGCTTAAGGGGCACAGTAGAGAGCCTGTTGCTCTGGGCTTCTGGAAAGGTTTCAGAAGTCATGTTAGCGAACGACAAATGATGCCTCGCCAGGCGGGCAACACCTCTGCCCTTAGGAGCTGCCAGAGTGGGCAATTGTGTGATGGTGCACACCTGTAAAATCAGCGCTCGGGAGCCATATGCAGGAAGACCTCGAGTCAAGAAAGAGCCTGGGTTAGATATTGCCCATATGAAACTTGGGTTAAAAAGTTGAAAGCTGGGGCCGGTAAGGTGGCTCAACAGGTAGAGGGAACCTGATGCCAAACCTAGTGACCTTTTGGTCCCTAGAACCCACCCGATGGAGAGAACTGACTCATGGAAGCTGTGCACCCAACTCATACAGGGTAAAAAAATGATCTGTGTGCCAGGCATGGTGATGTGCACCTTTAATGCCTGCCCTCAGGAGGCAGAGGCAGGCGGGTCTGTGTGAGTTCAAGGCCAGACTGGTCTACAAAGTAAGTTCAGGACAGCCATGGCTACACAGAAAAACCCTATCTTGAAGAAGAAAACATAAGAAACAAAGATTGGTGGGCAACAGGCATGCCCCATGTGTCTTCAGTGCCTAAGTTTATTCCTGCCTTGCTTCTTGAAGAGGTTTCAGGGAAGGGTCTGGTCTTCTTTTCCTGTCCTAAAAGACTCTGTTTTCTCTCCTTACTTCCTGGGGCCGTTTTCTTGGGAAGCAGCTAAACTTAGCTGTAACCACAGATAAGATGTGATTTCTGGCTCTATGAGGACTTTCTACATAAGGGAGGCCTAGAGCATATGTGGAGAGCCTGGCCCCAAGTTGGGTGCCTTCAGAAGAACACTCAAATCAAGGGTGTCCTCAGAGTATATGGCAAACTCCTGTTGTGCAGGCTGACATTGTGTTGGGATCACTGTCCTGTGGGGAGCCCTGGTTGTAGTTGGATAGGGGAGCTAATGGAAACCATGAGCAGCAGGAAGAGTCCATACTAGTTTCCAGGCCTTGCCTGGTCCATCTCAGAACCCCTACCCTTTGCTTCCTGCATGTCACCTGGGATGGGCTATATTCCCCGACTAGGCTATCAGCTCTGAGGTAGGTTGGGTGCCTAAACTCGAGGGCCTAGCCAGACCTCACATGCTAGTTTTCCAAGAGGCAGGTGTAAAGGGCTGCTTAGAGATGTTAGAACAAAGAAAGGTCAAATTACAGGAGAAGCCTGGGGAACAAGTGAGCTTGGAGTAGGAAACATAAGGGCCAGAGAAGTCAATTGGGCCCAAAATGTATGGAGATCAAGTCCCTAATTCAGCCAGCGTGTTTGAACATAGAGTTGTGCTTCTGAGAGTTGGTGAAGAGAAAGCTTGCAGTTAGGTCCAGAAACACCTCAAAACTCCAGGACCAGCTCTACATGGAGGCACTATGGGACAATGGGAGGACATTACTGTACAGCAGACTATAGTAAACAAAGGGAACCTAACTAGGCTAGAGACCAAAGACCAGCCCATGACATTACTTACCAGGATGAGTGGGTGTTGAGGAGACCGGATTGGAGGGTGATGTTGGAATAGAAGGTGAGAAGCTTCCAGTGGTAGTAGCAGAGCTGCTCAGGAACACAGATGTAGGCAGTGGGCTGGTGCTAGGAGGCCTAGTGGTGTGGTTGGTGTCTGGGGGACTTGGGAAGACTGTCAAGCCAATGGTTGAAGACAGCCCTGATGAAGAGGCTTGGGTAGTAAAGGAGGTAAACTGGGAGGTGGTGGACTTTGAGGAGTGTGAGGAAAAGGTGGGCACATGAGATGTAGTCTTGGAAGTGGATAGAGGGCCAGTACTGTACGTTGGCCTACTAGACGGAGAGGGAGTAATGTGAATGGTGGGGAGAGCAGAAGAAAATGATGAGGTGACAAGAGGTAGAGTAGAGGACATAAGAGAAGAGGGAGCAGTTGGAGACACAAAGGAAGAAACTGATGACGGATGTGATCCTGAGGTGGGTTTAGTAAACTGGGAGGAATGGGATACTAACCTCGAAGTAGGTGTATACTCTGGAGTAGAACCTACAGCATTTGAAGGAGCTGAAAGAGGGGACGTCATGGAAGAAGATGGAAAAGATGCTGAATGAAGAAAAGATGTAGTGAGACCAGAGTTAGGTGGGAAGGCGGTGGACGATGTCACAAATGGAGAATGTGTGATGTGTGGAGTAATGGCAGTGCTGGGTGTTCCTGAGGTGGTCCTGACCTCAGGTGTTCCAGTTACAGCCACGGTGGATTGAACCGAGTTGGTAGTGGCTGGAATTGACGTTGACCGAATGGGTGTCACTGAAGAGGTTTCTGAGAGGTGTGGGGTAGATGTCCTTTCTGTGGAAAATGAGCTCTTGGTTTGGGTGGTGGCACTGGTTGTATAAATGACAGGTGTTGTTGTATGAGGGGACCTTGTGCCTTCCAGAGTGGTGGGAAGGACAGTCCTCAGTGGTGTGGGGGCAGAGGAGGATGAGACTGAGTGTGGGCTGGTTGGGGTGTTGACTGTCTCAGTAGTTGGCGTCACAGATGAGGTTGAAGTTAATGGCATTTGTGTGGAGACTGAGGTCTGTGGACGTGATGGGGTTGGGAAGTTGGTGGTGGTCTGCATGGATGTCTCTGAGGGGAGACCTGTGGTGTGTGTTGTGGGTGGGGG